CTAGTTGGTTGGTTTAATGTAGTTTTTGTTTGTTTGTTCGTTTGTTTGCTTGTTTGTGGCGGCGGCAGGGGCGGCGGCGGTGTTGGTTGTCGTCGTCATCGTCGTTGCTACCTGAGGCAAGACTACGAGGGGCGATGCAATCGGCTTCTCAACTCAATCAGGAGCCGTGCACAGTTGTTCAGCGGGGCTGGAACACCAGCATAGGGATGTTCACAGTGCGAAGTGCGCTGAGAAGAGAGAAGCCATGCTCACACCCCAATTTGAGTTTCACCACGGGGCAAGTCAGTTGCCGTGCATCCCTGCCACGTGGCTCTCGTATCTCCGAGGCTCAAAAAAGCGATGACAAGCACTCTGGCAAGCATTTCATTCAGAAACGAAAGTCATACCGCTTAGGGCCGCCCTGTTTCTCCTGGAAAGGGTCTGGGTTTCGTCAAAACGGCCCCCCAGACAGGAACCGTGTAGAACCGGGAAAGTGCATGTGATCAGGCACCGGGTGCATGATCACCAAGCGCACCTTCAACAGTTGGCTCCTGCAATCCAGCGAGCTACTGGACGTGCTGGATGATGCTGAAGTGGCCGCGTCCTCAGGTAGGATCCTTTCGAGACCTGCAACCAGCTCGACTTTTTGGACCCTCCCGGAGCCAGGAATTTCCAGTTTTCCTTCTTTGGAGGATGCTTTCCTTGAACGTTCTGTTCTACTCCTCCCGCTACTTCTCTGGTAGCATTTGACACATGTCACATATCTCAACAGAAGCTGATGGGCTCCTCTCTTCCCCAGTGGCACGTTGCCGCCGAAAAAAATGCGGGCGCTGAGTGAGGGATGGAGAGACCAGGATACATCTTGCAAGTTTGAGCTCTTCGATGTCTTGGACATTGATCTCTCGGGCAAACTGCCGTCCGCGGCCCAGTCCAAGAAGGATTCATGCCACGCCGCTATGCCGATGGCATCAGCGGAGAACAACGTGACTTCGGGGTACTTGTGATTGTATGTTGAATGTTGAACATGAACCAGCAAGAAGCCATTGCCATTTCGGGTCTGACTTCACAATTCGCGCAGAGATTTCATTGCTTGAGGTTCAGCGAGACAGTAGAAGGCCTCATGAGGTGCCGCGGGCCCGTTTCCAAGACCGCGGCTTGGCACATGGGGTGTTCTGCTGTTTGGCTCCTTCAGTGCTTTGTTATTTCATATTATGTTGTTCGTGTTTCTTGGTTCCTGCGCAAAGATGCCAGCTGGAAGGAAGGAGCTTCCACTCATCTGTTTCTGGTGGGATGTGTTGTTGCTTTTTCAGGTTGTTCACATTGTACAGGTGTGTTGCGTTTTCCGGCCAGGCCCCAAAACTAGCATGGAACCTGCAAAACACAGATTTGTACACACGAGCATACGTAGCAAGCACACCCTTTTCACGGGTTGCATCATGATTCAATGAATTGAAATAGTGCGCCCAAGCGACAAGCCCGCTTGGGCGCTTCTTCTGGGCACGTGCGTCCAAACCTGAAGTTGCCACTAGCTATGGTTGTTCTGGGCACACCCCAGGCACATTTGCGCAAATTAGAGCAATCCTCAAACTGATGGGAGCAGGCAGAAAGGATTATACGCCAGTTTTGTTCCTTGCGATGCATGCGAAACTTGGCATTTGCCCCTTGAATTCAGCAAGAGATCCCGATTGCTAAACTGAATGCCGGGATGCCAATTCCACCATCCGCCAGCCCAGCATGCCAGCCCTGTACCTTGGATACCACGTCAAAAAAGGGTGCTTAGAATGGAGAAGCCCGTGTCAGAATGGGTGTTGACAAGGAAGCTTACTGAGAGGTGACCATTTGGTTGGGACCCACGAAGTTTCGTGGAACAGAGCGACGATCTCAAGTTCAAGCAGGGACACTGGCAATGTGCTACTTGTTAGAATCCTGGATGAACTGCTCAAAGTTTCAATCGCCACAGCGTGCCCGCGCGAAGGATGTCATTTCTTGGTAGTCAAGAAGAGGGTCTTCTTTTAGGATATTCTCTGCCACCTTTACAAAAGGGTCCAAGATGTTGGCCACAACTTGGCTACCTGGTTGGGCGGCTTTCCGCGAATTCCTCCTTGGACACTGTGGAAATGCACGGGGACTCCTTGTCTGGCTTGAGGACATCATCTCGATACGTCTGCTGCTTGTCGGATTTTGGCAAGTTTCTCTGTTTTGTGCCTTACTCGGGCGCAACGTCAAGACAGTGGGCAGAAGTCATTTGCTTAGGCGAGTGCGACATCTCACGCGTCTGACACAGCAAATTCATAAAAAGCTGGGCTGCCATTCCCACAAGTGAGCCGGTGCAGTTTTATTTTCAACTATAGATGCATGGGAAGTTGTCTTTGACGGTCTCCGTTGAAACTCTTTACATAGCTGGAGCTTTGCATTGTCCAAGACAGGCAAAGCGAGTTTTTTTCCGCCAGCACACAAGTCTTGCCTCAAGAGCGTTCAGCTGCCTGCATATCCAGGCCGAGTTTTCGCGCTGTAAAGCTGGAAGCGGGCGGAGGGGCCCCGCATTGTTTGCAGCCACGCAGAGGTGTGAAGCACCATTTGCGGCACGGAAGTTTGTCATAGGCTTAGATTGGCGCATGCCAGCCACACGCTGCATACAAAGCCAAAACTGCCAAGTGCATTCCTGCTGAATGCAAGCTGCTCAACCCCAGTTGAGCCACACAACCGTGCAGTGGAAGTTGAGGGAGAGAGCCCCAAACATTGAAGGTGCGACCGCCCTTTTGCTAGACCCCTTTGTGCCCGGTTTTGGTTCTGACTCAGAATTTTGCGTGGGCATGCAGGAGACAACAGATACTGGATGACCCTTTTCAATCATCAAAGTCCTTTTCATCCTGACTCCACCTGCGGGTGGTGACGGAACTGGAGATCTGATTGCAATGGATGGTGCTTGGGCGGTGCGTGCGGTGGTGCGTGAAGAGAGCAAAGCATGCAGGATGGCTGGTTGGATAATAACTGATGCTGGTTGCCGACATTCTTTTTGCAACATGGTGAGGTCCTTGATTCAAAGTCCTTCTAATCCTACTGGCCCCTCACTACGGGGCGGCAGTGATGGAATGCATGAACTGAGCATGCTTGATGCTTTTGACACAGGTGACCTGCACTTTTTGGGTCACTGACGTTCTGATTTCGCATGGGGTGCCACCATTCACAGGATGACCCTTTTCAATCATCAAAGTCCTTTTCATCCTGACTCCACCTGCGGGTGGCGCTGACGGAACTGGAGATCTGATTGCAATGGATGGTGCTTGGGCGGTGCGTGCGGTGGTGCGTGAATAGAGCAAGGCATGCAGGATGGCTGGTTGGATAATAACTGATGCTGGTTGCTGACATTCTTTTTGCAACATGGTGAGGTCCTTGATTCAAAGTCCTTCTAATCCTACTGGCCCCTCACTACGGGGCGCAGTGATGGAATGCATGAACTGAGCATGCTTGATGCTTTTGACACAGGTGACCTGCACTTGTTGGAGCACTGACGTTCTGATTTCGCATGGGGTGCCACCATTCACAGGATGACCCTTTTCAATCATCAAAGTCCTTTTCATCCTGACTCCACCTGCGGGTGGCGCTGACGGAACTGGAGATCTGATTGCAATGGATGGTGCTTGGGCGGTGCGTGCGGTGGTGCGTGAAGAGAGCAAAGCATGCAGGACGGCTTGCACATTGTGGTTGTTTGGATATTGACTGATGCTGGTTGCCGACATTCCTTCTGCCGGGTGAGGTGCTTGATTCAAAGTCCTTCCAATCCTACTGGCCGCTCGCTACGAGGCGGCAGCGATGGAATGCATGAGCTGAGCATCAAATTCTAGATACAAGTGACCAGCACTTTGTGAGGCAATCTGTTGTTTTTGTCCAAAGATATGGGTGATTTCTTAACAGATGCTGAGTCGAGGTGACTTGGAAATGACACTGAAGTGATACTGAAGGTACCAGTAGCACTTGGGATGCCACTGGGGTGTCCTTTTTGGGCAACACTGCCGGCAACTTGACACGCTGATTTTCATCAGCGTGCAGGAACCACCAGCTGCAGGCTGCAGGATGACCCTTTCAATCATCAAAGTCCTTTTCATCCTGACTCCACCTGCGGGTGGCGCTGACGGAACTGGAGATCTGATTGCACTGAGTGGTGTGTTCAGGTGCGCAGAGCGTGCATGGTGTTCGCAACTTTGCGCAGCGGGACAACGTGGGTGCGTGCGGACATTCGTTCTGCAGGATGATAAGGTCCTTGAATCAAAGTCCTTCTAATCCTACTAACCCCCTCGCCGAGGGGGCGGCAGTGACGGAATGCATGAACTGAGCATGCTGCATACTTTGGACTCAAGTGACCTGCACCTTTTCGAGCATTGGCGTTCTGAATTTGCATCGGGATGCCACCAATTACAGGATGACCCTTATCAATCATCAAAGTCCTTTTCATCCTGACTCCACCTACGGGTGGCGCTGACGGAACTGGAGATCTGATTGCATTAAGTGGCGTGTTCATGCAGTTCATGTGCGCGGAGGGCGCATGGCGTTCGGGGGTTTGTGCAGCGTCGGTGGGACAAGGTGGGTGTTTTGAGGTATTCGTTCTGCAGGATGATGAGGTGCTTGAATCAAAGTCCTTCTAATCCTACTAACCCCCTCGCCGAGGGGGCGGCAGTGATGGAATGCATGAACTGAGCATGCTGCATACTTTGGACTCAAGTGACCTGCACCTTTTCGAGCCTTGGCGTTCTGAATTTGCATCGGGATGCCACCAATTACAGGATGACCCTCATCAATCATCAAAGTCCTTTTCATCCTGACTCCACCTACGCGTGGCGCTGACGGAACTGGAGATCTGATTGCATTAAGTGGCGTGTTCATGCAGTTCATGTGCGCGGAGGGCGCATGGCGTTCGGGGGTTTGTGCAGCGTCGGTGGGACAAGGTGGGTGTTTTGAGGCATTCGTTCTGCAGGATGATGAGGTCCTTGAATCAAAGTCCTTCTAATCCTACAACCCCCCTCGCCGAGGGGGCAGCAGTGATGGAATGCATGAACTGAGCATGCTGCATACTTTGGACTCAAGTGACCTGCACCTTTTCGAGCATTGGCGTTCTGAATTTGCATCGGGATGCCACCAATTACAGGATGACCCTTATCAATCATCAAAGTCCTTTTCATCCTGACTCCACCTACGGGTGGCGCTGACGGAACTGGAGATCTGATTGCATTAAGTGGCGTGTTCATGCAGTTCATGTGCGCGGAGGGCGCATGGCGTTCGGGGGTTTGTGCAGCGTCGGTGGGACAAGGTGGGTGTTTTGAGGTATTCGTTCTGCAGGATGATGAGGTCCTTGAATCAAAGTCCTTCTAATCCTACTAACCCCCTCGCCGAGGGGGCGGCAGCGATGGAATGCATGAGCTGAGCATCAAATTCTAGATACAAGTGACCAGCACTTTGTGAGGCAATCTGTTGTTTTTGTCCAAAGATATGGGTGATTTCTTAACAGATGCTGAGTCGAGGTGACTTGGAAATGACACTGAAGTGCTACTGAAGGTACCAGTAGCACTTGGGATGCCACTGCAGTGTCCTTTTTTGGCAGCACTGCCGGCAACTTGACACGCTGATTTTCATCAGCGTGCAGGAACCACCAGCTCCAGGCTGCAGGATGACCCTTTCAATCATCAAAGTCCTTTTCATCCTGACTCCACCTGCGGGTGGCGCTGACGGAACTGGAGATCTGATTGCACTGAGTGGTGTGTTCAGGTGCGCAGAGCGTGCATGGCGTTCGCAACTTTGCGCAGCGCCGGTGGGACATCGTGGGTGCTTGCGGACATTCTTTCTGTAGCATGACGAGGTCCTTGAATCAAAGTCCTTCTAATCCTACTAACCCCCTCGCCGAGGGGGTGGCAGTGATGGAATGCATGAAGTGAGCATGCTGCATACTTTTGACACAAGTGACCTGCGCTTTGTGGGGCAATCTGTGTTCTGTTTTTCAAAGGTATCGGTGATTCTTAGCAGATTCTGCACTGAAGTGAAATTCCATGTACCGGTAGCACTTGGTGCCATTGCAGTGTCCGTTTGCGGGACTGCCAGCAACTTGACTCGTTGATTTTCATGGGCGTGCTACAGGCTGCAGGATGACCCTTTCAATCATCAAAGTCCTTTTCATCCTGACTCCACCTGCGGGTGGCGCTGACGGAACTGGAGATCTGATTGCACTGAGTGGTGTGTTTAGGCATGGCATTCGGGGGTTTGTGCAGCGCCGGTGGACAACCTGTGTGTTTGCAGACATTTGTTTCGCATCATGACGAGGTCCTTGAAAGTCCTTTTAATCCTACTGGCCCTCTCGCTGACGGTTTGGCAGTGATGGAATGCATGAAGTGAGCATGCTGCATACTTTTGACACAAGTGACCTGCGCTTTGTGGGGCAATTTGTGTTCTGTTTTTCAAAGGTATCGGTGATTCTTAGCAGATTCTGCACTGAAGTGAAATTCCAGGTACCGGTAGCACTTGGTTTGCCATTGCAGTGTCCGTTTGCGGGACTGCCAGCAACTTGACACGCTGATTTTCATGGGCGTGCTACAGGCTGCAGGATGACCCTTTCAATCATCAAAGTCCTTTTCATCCTGACTCCACCTGCGGGTGGCGCTGACGGAACTGGAGATCTGATTGCACTGAGTGGTGTGTTTAGGCATGGCATTCGGGGGTTTGTGCAGCGCCGGTGGACAACCTGTGTGTTTGCAGACATTTGTTTCGCAGCATGACGAGGTCCTTGAAAGTCCTTCTAATCCTACTGGCCCCTCGCTGAGGGGGCGGCAGTGATGGAATGCATGAAGTGAGCATGCTGCATACTTTTGACACAAGTGACCTGCACCTTTTCGAGCATTGGCGTTCTGAATTTTCATGGGCGTGCTACAGGCTGCAGGATGACCCTCATCAATCATCAAAGTCCTTTTCATCCTGACTCCACCTGCGGGTGGCGCTGACGGAACTGGAGATCTGATTGCACTGCGTGGTGTGTTTAGGCATGGCATTCGGGGGTTTGTGCAGCGCCGGTGGACAACCTGTGTGTTTGCAGACATTTGTTTCGCATCATGACGAGGTCCTTGAAAGTCCTTTTAATCCTACTGGCCCTCTCGCTGAGGGTTTGGCAGTCATTGAATGCATGAAGTGAGCATGCTGCATACTTTTGACACAAGTGACCTGCGCTTTGTGGGGCAATCTGTGTTCTGTTTTTCAAAGGTATCGGTGATTCTTAGCAGATTCTGCACTGAAGTGAAATTCCATGTACCGGTAGCACTTGGTGTGCCATTGCAGTGTTTGTTTGCGGGACTGCCAGCAACTTGACTCGCTGATTTTCATGGGCGTGCTACAGGCTGCAGGATGACCCTTTCAATCATCAAAGTCTTTTCATCCTGACTCCACCTGCGGGTGGCGCTGACGGAACTGGAGATCTGATTGCACTGAGTGGTGTGTTTAGGCATGGCATTCGGGGGTTTGTGCAGCGCCGGTGGACAACCTGTGCGTTTGCAGACATTTGTTTCGCAGCATGACGAGGTCCTTGAAAGTCCTTTTAATCCTACTGGCCCTCTCGCTGAGGGGGCGGCAGTGATGGAATGCATGAAGTGAGCATGCTGCATACTTTTGACACAAGTGACCTGCGCTTTGTGGGGCAATCTGTGTTCTGTTTTTCAAAGGTATCGGTGATTCTTAGCAGATGCTGCACTGAAGTGAAATTCTAGGTACCAGTAACACTTGGTGTGCCATTGCAGTGTCCGTTTGCGGGACTGCCAGCAACTTGACACGCTGATGTTCATGGGCGTGCTGCAGGCTGCAGGATGACCCTTTCAATCATCAAAGTCCTTTTCATCCTGACTCCACCTGCGGGTGGCGCTGACGGAACTGGAGATCTGATTGCACTGAGTGGTGTGTTTAGGCATGGCATTCGGGGGTTTGTGCAGCGCCGATGGACAACCTGTGTGTTTGCAGACATTTGTTTCGCAGCATGACGAGGTCCTTGAAAGTCCTTCTAATCCTACTGGCCCCTCGCTGAGGGGGCGGCAGTGATGGAATGCATGAAGTGAGCATGCTGCATACTTTTGACACAAGTGACCTGCACCTTTTCGAGCATTGGCGTTCTGAATTTGCATCGGGATGCCACCAATTACAGGATGACCCTCATCAATCATCAAAGTCCTTTTCATCCTGACTCCACCTGCGGGTGGCGCTGACGGAACTGGAGATCTGATTGCACTGCGTGGTGTGTTTAGGCATGGCATTCGGGGGTTTGTGCAGCGCCGGTGGACAACCTGTGTGTTTGCAGACATTTGTTTCGCATCATGACGAGGTCCTTGAAAGTCCTTTTAATCCTACTGGCCCTCTCGCTGAGGGTTTGGCAGTCATTGAATGCATGAAGTGAGCATGCTGCATACTTTTGACACAAGTGACCTGCGCTTTGTGGGGCAATCTGTGTTCTGTTTTTCAAAGGTATCGGTGATTCTTAGCAGATGCTGCACTGAAGTGAAATTCTAGGTACCAGTAACACTTGGTGTGCCATTGCAGTGTCCGTTTGCGGGACTGCCAGCAACTTGACACGCTGATGTTCATGGGCGTGCTGCAGGCTGCAGGATGACCCTTTCAATCATCAAAGTCCTTTTCATCCTGACTCCACCTGCGGGTGGCGCTGACGGAACTGGAGATCTGATTGCACTGAGTGGTGTGTTTAGGCATGGCATTCGGGGGTTTGTGCAGCGCCGGTGGACAACGTGTGTGTTTGCAGACATTTGTTTCGCATCATGACGAGGTCCTTGAAAGTCCTTTTAATCCTACTGGCCCCTCGCTGAGGGGGCGGCAGTGATGGAATGCATGAAGTGAGCATGCTTGGTACCCAAGCGCTCTGCACTTTGGGGACTATGTGTGACCGTGTGAGCTTTGGAGTCAGGCGGTGCATTTGAGGTGGCACTTGGTGGGCTGGCTAATCATTGTTGCACGTTGCAAACGTTGGCCTGCAAGTTTTGCAGTGGCAGCTTGCCATGCTGATTTCCATTTGTCATTGTGACCCTTCCTGCGGGTTTGGCTAAGAGTGCTGAGTTGCATTCGCATTTGCTTGGTCTTTGTTTATGATTCGACCGCATTGGTGCATTGGAATTTGCATGTGTTGGGAAGTGTTTTATGCGATATGCGCATCATCCTGTACAGTGTGCTCTATGCGTGCCGCTGTGGCTCATCAGGCAGTCACGGTGCGCACGTGCTACTCAGCGGCTCGATGGGCACGTCACCCAGCAGAGTTGAGCTCTGCAAGCAAAACAAGCATCCCATTTGGTTCAAAAGGAAATCAAACTCGATCCAACTCGGATTGACACCCAGGTCATGGTTGGACGATCACACAGTAAGTAGCGAGCCATGCCCAAATACAGCGAGATCGCTCAGGACGGGGGTCAAGGGTTCTGCGGATTCTCAGAGGTTGCAAATCCTATCGGAGGCAAAGATGGAGCTCGAAGTAAAGAGAGCTTAAACCAGCATGTCCTTTGATGAACGTCTGGTGCACGAGAGTGTTTGGGTTCCATGTCAGTCTACAGAACTTCGGCCAGGGTGGGCTTTGATATGTTTCTAATCTTATTTAAGGCGGGCGTGGCCTGCTCAGTTTGGAACATCCGTTCGATGCCAAAGAACGCTGCCACGCTGTGAAGTGAACAGTACGAAGCTGGGCGCATGAAGGTAAGATCATTCGTCAGCTCCGCCATGGTTGCAACCTGCGAAGAGAGGGAGCTGTGCAATATCCTCGAAGTGCAGTTGATGTGTTCAAGCACAACTATCACTAGAGAACAGTTGTGAAGTTCAGGCCTGTACTTGTTGCTTGCGGTTGGTTGACTCTCTTTCGGGGAATCTACTCCCTGCGAAGTCGCAAGTCCAAACCGTGGCCGCCCGAGAGGTGGAGAACCCGCCAGAGCAGAAGCCGCTGGACATATTTTTCTGTGTGTGTATTTGTTTCTCGTTTTTTTTCTTTTTCCTTTTTTTTTCTCCGTTTTTCTGTTTTTTTCTGCCGTTCAAAGGCTATAGTGTGGCTTGTTGAGGGTGCCTTTTTGGTTTAGAGGAAAAGACAACCTTTTGGGGTCCCCCGTATTTTGACACTTCCCTAAGTTCATGATTTAAACATACTGTGGATGGAAACAATTCTGCACCATTGGGGATGCATGCGCCCTATGAACACCAGGATAAACCGCCTGCCAAGTGGTACAGGATGTTGTCCATCCACGATATGTCCATAGAACACATTACCATTTTTGGGGCCCTGCGGTGGCTGGTTTCCCATTCATTCCAAAAGGAGAGGGAAACCGCCCAGTCCTCTTAGACCACCAGGGCACAAAAGGAGCCAAGAGAGAAGACCCACGACAATCTCACCCTGAACACAATGTGGTTTTTCATCCATGGTCCATAGCTTTAACTGAGCTTTTGTGAGTTTCCACCGGTGGTTTCTTCAGGGGGGAGAGAATTCCCAGCCAGGATGGAAGCTTTCTTGATAAGGGCAGCCACAATCGGGGCCGCTGAGAAAAACGAGAGCAAGCTACAAAATGGCAGCCACAGGGCTGGACACTGCTATTGCCCACATGATCACACTCCCATTAGCGCGTCATGCTTTGGTTACCCATTTTTCGTGATCGCTGCACCATGCCGCAATATCGCAAGCAACCGTGTGGGTTTGTCTCAAAATAGGGTGTCCCTGGATGGTTCAATCCATGACACACCCGTGCCATCTGAGGGATCTACCAAGTTGGCTCGCTCATCCGCTGAAAGTGCCGGCCTCCCAGCCAAACATGCTACTCTTCCCGGGAGAGATGACCCACTACGCCGGGATGCTGGCGGTCTGTCAGAGACTCCCACTTGTTCAGGAGCGGGCGCTTCTTCAGTGCGGCAGGGTTTGGGGTGAGCCATAATTTGGCGTGGCGCTTAGCTCCGTAGACGCAACACGAAGCAACCAAGAAAGTCTGTAAGTGATGTGCGGACATGAAGACTGACGCCTATTTCAGCTTTCGGATTGCAACAAGGATGCCGTGAACTTGCTTCTCTCCTGTTGCCGTGTCGCCCAAGTCGTTTGTTTTAGGGGGTTCGACTGGATTCAAAGAATCCAAATGAAGGAACATCAGGAGTTTTGGTGAGTGAACGGGCGTCCAGTGTTCCTGTAGCCGGTTTCTTAGGCATTTTGAGAACCTGCGACTCAAGTGTAATCTGATCTGAGAAGTCCTCGCTACGGAAAATCTGGGGTTTGGGTCGAGATTGGCAGAACCTGGGTAGAAGCTAGTCTCTAAACACTCGCAAACCGTGTTTAGAAGCCGGCTTCCTTGAAGAACAGTTTTCAACCCAAATACCCAAGGCCTAAACTTGCATACCCCGCTCCCCAGTCCCCTCACTCGGAAAAAGAAGAAGAAACAAGACCATATTTTAGAGAAGTTCGGAAGCCCCGAACTCTTCCGAGGAGATGATCGAGCTCGCCACGGAGGCCTTCGACTTCGACGTGCAGCGAGTCTTCGAGGAGTGCACTGCGGAGGATGAAGCCAGCAGGCGGGGGCTTCGGCGGGGTGGGTTGGGTGGGAACGCAGAGTCGCAAGTGACCGGAGGATTCACACGAAACAAGTAGAACCCATCCGACGAGAAGAAGTTCGGAAGGGGGGTCACCCACAATAGTGAAGGATTGCTAAGAAGGGGACGCTCCCTGATACATCCACGAGGGACTGATTAATCCGAGGTTAGCATGAATTGGGAGCCGTGTTTGGAGGCGTCTTATCCAAGGCAAGTGTGTTTCCAAAACCACACTGACACCATAGCTGAAGCCTATGATGCAGAGCCCTAGGCCGGGCGTAGATTTTCGGATCGGTGTGTAGCAAGCCATGGCCAATGACAGCAATCCTTGGTGCTGACTGAGAGATCCCTTGTAGGTGATGCGAAATAAGTAGCAACTGTGGCAGAATGAGGCTTGGCAGGTGCTTCAATCTTCTACAAGCCTGAGCATGTTTTTCGCGACCTCGCGAGAGCAAAACAAACATGGTTCCTTTCTTGAGGTCTCTTATTTCTAGCATATTCCAGCACAGCAAGTTCTACTTTATCCAGACTCCGGTTGCAGGACTGACAGGAGCCAGATGCTGGCCTACGCCTCGACCTCAGTCCACTAGGCAGCCCTCGTCGATTCGGACAAACACTGTTGTTCAAAGATGCTCCACTTGTTCCAAGGTGTTGAGGTCCTGTCTTAGAGCTTAGCGTGGCGAGGTGGGAGGTACAAAGCTGAAGCTTTGCTGGTTGCATGAGTAGCAGGCTTTCTGATAAGGGATAAGGCTGGGCACCAATCTAGACGTGTGCGACCATCTTGATACAGGCTCAATCGCTACCATGGAATTTCCGTTAGGAAGCTCCTGGAAGACCGCGTTCGAAGGATCTTTTGGGAGCTTCCGTTTGACCAAGTGGGTGTGACGCAAAGAAATTCCGGGAGCAGAATGCCACAGTCGGTGAATTGGGCTTGTACAACCTGGCGTAAAGTGCTACAAGCTTCAAAATATGGGCCGCCAACACATTCGGATCGCGAGTCACTCATGGCGGCCCGGAAGGTGAAGGACCATGGTACCATGAGCCTTTCCCATCCCTTCCGTGCCGAAGGGCGGGGGGGCCGGGGGGCGGGGGGGTGGGTGGAAGGGTGCGGGGGTGGGTGGGAGGGTGGGGGCAACAATTCGAGGTCGCCGACTGCGCGGCCTACGAACTCTTCAGAGAGCAGCAGCCCGAGGCACCCCGACGGTCTGAGGGGGATGGATGGCCCAGATCGCGGATTGTGCTGAATCCACTTTCTATATTCCATCTGAAAGTGGGTCCCCAAAATTTAGCACGCCCGTTCAAATGTAGGAATAAGTTGGCCAACGAAAGAGTCTTGTAACTTGAAAGACAACGACAAATCTAAACAGAACTCGACTGATGGGACAAGCTTGAAGGAGCCAAACACCTGAGATCAGCTTTCTTGCACGGCTTTGGCCTGTTCCCCAACCGGTTCGCACCTGTGTAGCATGGCACGCCACTGACACACCCAGTGGTGCAAGATGTTGCATGACATGGTGGCTTTGTGTTTGTGTCCGTGTCTGTGTTTGTGTCTGTGTGTCGAGCTTTGAGCCTTCCAACTTGTTGGTTCCCTCTAGTCACTTGTCAATACCTACGCTTCCAATCAACTCAAGGTTAATCACTCGGATTCTGCACACAGTTGCTTCTGGCAACGTCAATCGACATGTTTCACTTTTCAAGACTGGTGACCAGGCACCGAAACGAGAGACGACTCCAGTTCGCTGGGAATTCTGCCGCTTCGGCTTGAGGTGGCGAGCAACTTGCGGGCTGTGGCTGGGTTCTCGGTGGGGGAGTTCGCCGCTTTGGTGGCCGCCGGCGTTATGTCCTACGACCAGGGCCTTCTCATCGTCAAGGCGCGGCTTGCGAAAAAGAACGACGCCTTGGGGGGCTTGGGCCTGTCTTCTGGCCCCATGTGTTCGGTGGATTCCGCCCTCTAAATCTCGTGTTTGGGTTCCACTCTAAACATGGTCAATCCGGAAAAGGGTTCCATTTGTGTTTTGCTGCCAGGTTCACTGGGCAACTGGGTTGCCGTTTTGGGCGATGGGGACCTCTGGTGTTCAGGGAGGCTCAAAGCAGCGCGCTTATCTGAAGGCCGCTGCCTTTCTTCTAAATGAATCAGTTGAGAAGACTTGCTGGTCTCAATGACCGTTCTCCTTGGCGCTGCGACGTTCGAAAAATCCCACGTTTGGCTCTTGGATGTTTTGGTGAAGGCGCTGGCCATGGCTCGAACGCATTGAGTTTGGGTTGCTGCAGCTCTCAAATTGCAAGTTCAATCCTCTCTGCCATGCCCCATCCATCAGCCGCCTGGCATAGCCGGGCCCCTGGCTATCCGGCCTCCATCCGCCAGGCGCGGGGGGAAGCCATGCAGCGGTGGGTGGAGCAGCTGCCTATGGCGGCCTTGGCGGTGTTTGGGCTGGAGGAGACTATGTTGGCGGAGCTCTGCGCACAAACAGGTCGCCTGGCAAAAGTTTCCAGGGCGTGTCTGGGGGTTGGAAGGCTTGACGCTTTCCGGGCGGGTTGGCCGGCCCGGGCGTTGGCCGGGCGTTTGAAACGAGGCTTGAAGTGGGAATTGGGTCAAAGATGGAAGGCCTGGTCGAGTTAGCTTTACGGTGTAAAGGAGCCTGCATCGGGTGCCAAGCTAGCCGTTGAATCGCCGGATTCGGAATGAGTGAAACGAAACCTGAGCTTATTTAGTTGGTTGGTTCCTTGCTGTCTCATGAAACGGTATCCCAAGATGTCCCTGAGTTCATTTATCAACCAGCTTTTGCATGTTTCGCTTGCGGCCGCTTACCGCCTAGGAGATGAACAGGGGTGCATCTCGTATCTGTTTGCGGGGCCCGGGATAAGGCAGATGATTTTGGTGCGGATGTGATTGTGGTTTTGTCAAATTTAAGTTTGGTGAATGTCAGGCGCAAGCTAACCATTGGCTGGTACCAGTACATTGTCATGTCAACCTGGATGTGAAAGGAAGTGGAAGCACCACGTGAAGGGCCCCAAATTCTGAGATCAACCCAAAGTTTTGCTTCCAGGAGCCGGGTTCAGTGTCGGGGTACTTGGAGGCAAGGCGCTGAGTTGAGTGCGTGTTTCTGAGGCACATCACACCAGCAGGCGGGAATGGAGGGGCCTTGGGAAAGAGGGGCCGTCACTGGATCTCTGCGTGGAGCATTGATCATTTTGGGCTGTTATGGGCTTGACGGAGTGGCGGAGCAGGCGAGTCCTGTCTCCGATTTGGAAGACGTGTGGGGAGTCCTCAGTTTCAATGATATCTCACTATGTTGGATTTGTGTCGCAGGATTGTTTTCTGCTTGCTTCAGTGTAATGTTTTCTTCCTCTTTCTCTGTCTCCCGTTGTTTTCTTTTTCTCTCCCTCTCTCCCTCTCTTTGCTCTCCCTTTTTTCTCTCGGCCCCTGGGCCTGCTCTTCTCTGCCTTTCCTTCGGGTTGCACGGTGCCCATTGCAATTCATCAAAGCAACACAGATGTAGCTTCTGTGGTGATGCAACTGCTGAATTCGCAGTCTCCCAGAGAAATGCACGGCTCCGCAATTCTAGCGAGCCTTGCCTTGTCGGAGTGATGGGCCCCTGTCCGCTTCCGGGGTGAAATCTCCCATAGGTGCCCATCGGTCTCGAACAGGTATCTCGGAATCTCGCCTTTTTGCATGCCGCCTCCCTCGAGGGGAAGAGTCAAACCTGAGCACACCTTGTCCAAATAGTGTGGCTTGGTGCATGTTCCAATAGCCTGCCCATTGGAAGGGAGTCCTGGAGTCCTCTTTTTTGACCGGCACATGCCGAAAGCTGACGGAAGGGCAATTTTTAAGCTAACCCTTACTTGCTGCGTCTCTTGTAGAGGGTACGTGGGAAACCCTCCTGAACCACCAAACCAAATCCACCAAAACTTGCTGAGCACCAGCTCAGCAGGAAATGAGGGAATGAACGCAGGGGTCCCCTTAAAGGAAACCACCAGTTGGATGGTTCCAAAGGGTCGTGCCAACTCATTCCCTGCCTACACCAGCAAGAGGGATTTTGAGAGATGGTTTCCAAGGACACCGCACCGTAAATCTGGAAATCCCAAAAGAAACCGCCGGGCGCCAAACGGGGACAGCTGAGAGTGGCTCCGCAGGTCTTCCTGTCCCACGGCTGGGGCCGGCGCTGCTTCGTGTGCTCGGGGGAGCGAGAGGCTGTGGAGGCCCTGCAGCAGCTGAAGCCTGGCGAATGGGAGAGGAAGGATAGGGGGCCTCACCTGTCCCAACACCAACTTGAGAGAAAAGTGGCCGTTCCAGATTATTAGACTTGTTTCAGAGAGAAATAAATTCTGACAGGTTGTTTTTTCACGATTAGTTGTTTGTTCTCCATGTTGATCTACTTTGTGTCAGGGGCACAGGCCGTTCTGTGCAATAGCCGGGTTGATCATGTGTGGTGATTCCGAACGCGATTATACCCCTATCCTGCAAGCAGGATGCTTCACGCGCAGAAGGCCGGCACACGAATACCCGAAATCCAACGGCAAATGACCTATGTTTCTTGTACAGGCACATGTGCTGTGTGCGGACTCACTGGAATCCAAGGACTGCGCAGGAGGCGCGCATAGTCAAACAGCCGTGTCAGCTTCGGTCATGCATCACTGTGCCTGGCTGATGCTTGGCGATATGACTCAATCATGTGAAACATTTTGATTGACAGAAGCACATGATTTTGACGGCGTCCCCCCTTTTAGAAGCCGCAATGCGCTCACAGGCCATTCAGCTTGCCCATTTGCTTGCCCGCTGAATCCCATCCAGGCTGTCTACACTCAGCTTATTGAGAACCGTGTAGATGCAGGAGCAGTGAGTGCCCACTGGGAATTTGAGCTGAGGATCGTGCAACATCGGCAGGGCGCAAACTCTGGCAGTTCTGCATGGAAAGCGATGATCGATTTCCAGTCAGCCGTCAGGACATACACCACTTGCTGCGGAGATTGCGGCCGAGGCACACGTAGTGCTGAGCACCGGTCCCTTCTTTCTCATGTTGGCCATGATGTTGTGCGCTCAATTTGGCTGACCTCGGCCGACCTCATGATGTGGATCTGTACCCCTGACAGGTTTTCTGAGGGGGCAGCACTTGACTTCCAGCTAGGGGCTGGATACATGTGATTTTACGCCACATGCCATGCGGGTAGCGGTTCCTATGGGGATCCTTCAGGCGCGACACCACCCAATAATCCGGGCTCCCCTTCAATCAATAGCCCGCCAGGTTGATTACAGTTAGGTGCAAGTAGATGGCACACTCCCCTTTACTTCGTCACAGGGTGGGAATTGCACCATCTACTTCCGAGGGATAAATCGCCCATGAGTCTTGCGGCCCAACATCTGCTTTGCCAGGTGGAGGAGGCCATCAGCAGCATTCCCATGTGCCTCTGAGAGAATTGGGTGTCAACATTGGGATGTGGAATCCTCAAGATGATGGAAGTGTCCTTTGGGTGCTTTCCCATACCAAGGCAAACACAATGTGTAACAAACAAGACACACTCCCCATGTACTGAATTGGAGCTATGTTCCAATGCAGCAAAGCTTCGGAGAAGCCGTGCCTTCCTCCAGGCCGATTTAGCACGCAGTTCAGGTACCCCTCGATTCCTTTGACAAAGGGCCACTTTGAAGCGGGGATCCCCGGCTGAGGAATCCGCCGCGCTGCGAGGTGCCGAGCTTAAGTCGGAAGCAGCTGAGTGGATGCGAGGTGTATGAATCGAGCGTGGCGGGCTAGGCCGGCAAACACCTTGCTTCATCGTTCTTGGCATGTTTTTTGTTTTTTGGTTCTGTTCATTTTTGGCAGGGGGCTGCAAAGAACAAAGTGTTTTGCTACCATACCAAGAGTTGTGAAGATTGGAGCCCTGGCCATTCCAAGTAACGAGACTTGTGCTGACACAAGCGTTTCGGTTTGTTGGAGGCTTTATGCCCCGGCTGACATGCTGCTACTCAGCTTCTAAGTCTTTCTTTTCTTTGGTCTGAGTGGAACAGCTGCGGTTTTGGGGGGCTCATGGCTCAGATTGGGTGATACGGTGAGGTCTACTTTGGCTGCGGCTATCGAGTGCCAGCTGGGGAGGCGAGAATCCCATCACGAGGTTGGTGTGCTGGTCAAGATGCCTACGAACAAGGGACAAACACGTCGTGTTTCTGGGGGATCTGCCGAACCAAATGTGCCCTCTTCACCGATGGATGCCAACCAATGCATGGGGTGCACATGGTGAGAGAAGGATGTGTATATGTACGCATGTTTGGGAAGCGTACCGAGAATCGCGAGCTTATGTTTCTTGATAGGGGGCCTCGTCGGTTTGCGAAGCGCTGGCACGATTTTGGCTCTTAACAGACAGACATAGACAGACACAGACAGACATAGACAGACACAGACAGACACAGAGAAACACAGACAGACACAGAGAGACACAGACCGAGACCGACAGAGACAGGCAGAGACACACAGAGAACAGACAGAGACAGGCAGAGAGAACGAGAAAGAGTGAGAGAAAGGGAGAAAGGGAGAAAGGGAGAAAGGGAGAAAGGGAGAAAGGGAGAAAGGGAGAAAGGGAGAAAGGGAGAAAGGGAGAAAGGGAGAAAGGGAGAAAGGGAGAAAGGGAGAAAGGGAGAAAGGGAGAAAGAGACAGAGAAAGAGAGTGTTTGCCGCCCTGCTTGTCCCGCATGTTTGCAGCCTCAGGACCCCTCGGTTTTCCTCCCATACCTCTCGCAGCAGCTGACCATGCCGCTGCGCGCCACTCCCAGATCCCACACCCTGTGAATTTGGTACATGGTTGACTTGGGCTTGGCTCAATTTGGCGTCCTTGATTGGACCCTTATCTCTTGTCCTGGAGGGGATATGCTTGGGGACCCGGTTTTGCCATCCTCAAGCCTGGTTTTGTCCCCTCTGTTTTACCTTTTGGTTTGTGGGTCATGTACGGGCCCACAAAGAACAGGTGGGTCGGACAAGAAAGGAACCGGTCCGAAGCTATGGCCATGGGTCAAAATCCAAATCGTACCCCCAGTGAACATCCCAATCCCCACTAAAGTAGGTAAGATGGGTGGTGACCTACCAACCAAAATGGGGTCCCGTTTAACGGTTTTGACCGCCACATCTTGGTCGTTTTGATTGGCAGTTCAGGCTGGGACGTGGTGGTGGCCAGCAGTCTGCAGCGCGGCATCCGGCGGTATTTCGAGTGCGGGCCCGGACAAAGCCTCAAGGAGCCGAACACTTTTGGAGAGGCATGGGGTTGGGCGACCAGAGGGATGGGGTTTTAGGCCTCAACTTTCTGTGAGATCCGCCCTTAACATGCACAATAGGGATGGCCCACCTGGGCATGAGGAAGAAAGACTATGTTCCGAAGACGAGAGGCGAGTGCTTGCCTCTGCGATGTGCCGAGCTCCACGGAATAGAATTGTCTCTCCTTTGGATTGGTTTATTTTCACAGCCACAAGCCAAACATTGGATTTCGACATGGTGCCGTAAGTTGTTGGCTGGTGAATCTAGAGAGCAAAAGGCCCGCGGGTCGGCGCCGCGCAGGAGCTAATGATGTTCAACAGCATCACTGCGCAGACTCAAACTATCAGGCGCAGACCCACAAGCCGGGCAATGGGCTGTACGAAAATACCTCTGCATTATCGCTTAATGTAGTGAAATGGAAGATCCCCTAAGTTGGGCCAGTGCTCCGGCAACAAGACACGCTCAAAAGTGAAGCGTCACCCAGCATTCATATGATGTCAGGCCGTACGAGCTCACCACGGCCATGCAGGTCTGAGCTGGGTGCTTTGCCCATGATTGTGCGGTGCCTTCGGCTTGCTTCAGACATGACCAAAGAGGGGGCAGATGCCCGGAAATTTCGGATTGGATGCAAGGATGGCACTTCGCCTCTATCACTCGTCTCGCAGCATCACAGCTGCCATTTGATTGAGGCTTTCCCCAGAAAATGCTGGGTCAAACAAGCTTGGCAGGGCAGTAGCCCATCCTAGCTAGCCTTCGAGAGTGGCTGTGTGCTTGGAGATACTCGGGAGTTGCTGGCGCTAGGGATTTGCAGTCTTCGCTTTCGAGACATAAGTGGATGCCCCAACATTGAGAGATATGGCAGTGCCCAAGAGAGTTCTTTCTATTTGGGTTGTGCTCTGGATGATTGATTTGGCTCCCCATCGAGTGGGCTGGGGGCCTGACACCATTGGTTGACAGTGAAGGTCCTGATTGCGGAGGTTTCTATTTGATCAAATACAACAAGAAAGAAACTAGAGTCGCCAGCATATTTTGAGTGCCCTCCAATGAAGGGCACTTGACGTGTTTTTGAATCGAGGGCACTTAAGGCCCAAGGCCGTGTCGGTGGCCTAAGTCAGCCTTTGATTCGTTTGCTAAGTGCCCTTATTGGCTTGATAGGGATTGGGATTCTGTTGAAGTCGAACAGCTACCCGTGTCGAAGTGTGACAACTGCCACATTTGATTGGGGCCAACCCGGAAAGCCCGAACCTGGCGTTTTGAGTGTCAAAGCGTGTCATTTGAGTGTGAGTGGGGTGCGAATCGAGGTCAGTTACCCTTCAAAAAAGTCACTTACGCTAGTGTCGGTCCCCCCTGCGTGAGTGTCATTGGCTTGTCGCTGCGGCTTGATTTGCCCAGCGTCGGTCCCCCCCCTCCGTGTGAGTGTCATTCGCATTCACGTGTCGCTGCGGCTCGATTTGCCTGGACTGAGAGGGTCTAAGTGCCCTTTAAATGGCTTAAGTGACCTCGTTGATGTAGGACGAAGTCCCCTTATTTTCAAAATGCATCATAGCACCCAAAAAACGAATCGAGGGCACTGAAAAGAAGCTGGCGCAAGGGTTTTGACACGCACGCAGCTGGGGTCTACCACTGTAACCTGGCTATTGATGTCTCCGAACCTGCTGGGCGAATTGGGCTCAAACCCAGCGCCTGCCGCTGCCCTTGAGGCCGATTGGGTTTGGTGGGTTAGAGTTGGTCAGTCCTTCCTTTGTTTTTTTTTTTTAGAATATAGTCACTCGAAGTCTGCCTTGGATGGTTCATGGCCATTGCAAGGTTCCACCATGGTCCCCAGGTTCAATGCCAGGGGGTGCCCATTTTAGGGGTCTTGAATTTCAGCGGGCCCCTAGGAGGGGGTGGCACAAGCGAATGACAGGCCGTGCAGGTAAAGGGGCGACCAATACACGGTCTTTCGCGCCCCCTCCTGTGCAGGTTGGCTGTTCAAACTCGGCCAGACACATGTGGAAGGCCAATTGAGACCTTCTCTTTTGACAATGAGGCAAGTTGATAAGCGCGAAAGGGCCAGTTTGGTTGTTCCACAGGCGACGCGAAGGAATAGAATCGATTTCCCCATTTCAATGTTGCAAGTACCCTCCTGTGCTGACTTGCAGGCTTCGGGGCAGCCGCAAGCTGGGCTCCTGATGGGTGGGAACGTGGTGGGGTTTGGGTGGGTGTGTGGCAGAGTTCAGGGTGGGGGGATGGGGGATGGGGGTGGTTGGGTTGTTGGGTGGTTGAGAAGTTGGCTGATTGGGTTGCTTGGTTTGGCTTGGTTTGGGTGGTTGGTTTCTTGCTGCTCGGTTGCCTTGGTTGCTTCTTTTGTTGCTTGGTTCCTGTCAGATTTGGGAAGCAGTGCTTGATCTGTCCTCAAGGAGTTTGGAGTTTTGGGGGTGTTTCCCTTGCTTTTTGGGGCGTCCATACAACCCTCAGGTGGTGGGTCGTGTGAAGCAGGTTTCACAAGTCCCAGGTCACGCCATCCTATTCCGCCTATTCCAATGCGATCAGCCAGCAGCCAGGCGGTCAACCGTCACCGAATGCGTTCTCAGACCGGTTGCCGAAGTGATAGACCCCAGGTTCTGAAGTCATATTGAGCAACCGCCAATTCTCAGCATCATCTATTTCATGTAGGCAAGGGGATGACATTGGGTACACTCACCAAACTGTCACTAGGAGGTTGACTCGCCAAAATCCAATATCATTGGGGCAATAAATAATTACCATGGCTAAGTTCCCCATATCGCGGAGGTTCATCGCTGGCTTCCTATCGTCCTATCACTGACGCCCCCACGTTCAGCCCATGCGACGGCATTGACTTCGCCAGGCCACAAAGATACTCTACAACTCTTTGCAGGTGTGGGGAGAATGCGCTCGGTGAATCGCGAGGGCCAGCGCTTGATGACTCGCTTTTGCATGCGTCGCCAAGTGTAGTTCTGCCGGCCAAGCATTTGGGGCGTTTGCAGAGTTGTCAGGCGGTCATCTTACTTGGATTCATTGGCTACGTAGTCTCGTCCATCGCGTCGCGAGCTTAGTGCAGGTAGCTTTGCAGCTGGCTCGCCTGCAAGTTGCCTTGCATCACACTGCAACTGCTGTATCACGGTTGTCAGCCGCACCTTTTGTCCCTTTTTGTTTGGTGGCGTCCCCAATGGTCAACCCCCAAAAGAGCTGGAGAGAGAGGGAGAGGGAGAGCGTCACTGACTCATACTGAATGGGTGGGACTAAGGCGACCAGACTCAGCCAGAAGTCCGTCTGCAAAGGTGGCCAGCAAGCAAACTGAGTTGTTCAAAACTCGTCCTTAATCCTTACTAGTTTCCCTTGTAGTGTCCCTCTACAGACGGATTCGGATTGGGGATGCCAACCCATCAATTTGGACAACCCAAGCATGAGAATGCATTCCTGCAGCTGGGTTGCCCTTGCCTTGTACAGAAAGCGCCCTCAAACCCCTGACGAGATGTTGGGCCGCTTGAGCCTTTCACCCGTGTGCAAGCAGGGGGCTGCCGGTATGTCTGTTGCGGCCTTCTTGCTGGGCTGCGAGTTTCTTGAGTCGCCAGGCTACGGAAGAAAAGACCTGTGTCAGCAGCAAGACGTGGCTGATTTTGCCCGATCCCTACTCTGAGCTTGGAGACAAAGGCATGTCTCAAAGTGGAGCCTCGCTCCGCATGGCATCTTATGGTGTGCCACAATTGAGACAAACCAATGGCTGCGCTGCGCATTTCACACGCGCAAGATATGCACGACAGGCCCTTTGCCTTCTTGACCGGCGGGCTCATTAATGTAGATGGCCTTTCTGCCACGAGTTGCGATCGAGACAAAGTGTGTGCTGTGAGGGGCTCGCTTCCGCCGCCATGAAAATGATGACCCATCCACTGATCTACATTGATTTGCTGACGCTGAGCAACCAATGTGGCGAATACAGAGAGGCCATTTCTTGGCTGGCCAGACTGTGACTCAGCAACACGACAAATATGACCTCAACCCCCTTTTCTTCTGAGAGGGAATGGGCGTGGAGATCCCCAAAAACGACAGTTTCCGAATCCTGGTTCCGAATATTTGCCCTCCTAGTTTCCTAATCCGACGGTGACCCAAGAAAAATCGGCTGCATTTGGACGGTTTTGGAAGCAACGCGTAAACCGGCAGGACACCAACTAAGCAGCGCCCAAAACCCCCACGATGGTCTCAATTGATACAAGCGGTTTCCTAAATTGCTTCGGTGAAAGGCACACCCTGCATCACAAAAGCTCGCGAAAGCGTTTTGCAAACACTTACGCGAAAGTTCGGCGAAAGGGCTACTTCACTGTTCAGACGGCTGAGGCAGGCTGCGCAAAAAGCTCAGCCAATGTCAGCGAGCCGGGAAAGAGCCGCGAAAGGGTTGATGTAAAAGCCCCCGCTTCTCGCCTCGCGAAATGCTCGATGGAGTATCCAAATCTTAATGAGTTCTAAGCACAGCTCAACTGAGCAGAGTTGCTTTTGCAATGTATTAGCTAAGTATTCGGGGGGAACTCCTTTTATGTTGCGGGGAGCTCCTTTTGTGCATCCACAAAGGAAAAACTCGATTCCAACACATCACGAGCCGAACGCCAGGCTTCGCAAGCACTGCAGTGCTGCTTCTCTAGCGCGAGGCTGGGCGCAGGTTGCTTAGGGGCAGTTTGATTGTTGCGTACCAAATTGTGTGGATGGCACAAACGGATAAGATCCGGATCACGCAAGGTTCTGCGCTTTTACTGGCTTATTTTGTAGTTTGACGGAGTTCCTTGACCCTGCCCTGGCTGCCATGAGAGATGTTACTTCAAGGAAGTCTGCTGCCCAATTCTTTGTGTTTTCAAGACACTGCTGACGTGGAGCGTGAAAGCCTCACATCCCTTCAGAGGCAAGGCCTGAAAGCCTTGACCTTTTGTGGTATTTGATGTCTTGTGTTTCTTCGTTTCTAGCTATTCACGCAGGGTGTAGAGCAGAAGGCCCATGAGAAACAAGCGTACTGGTAGCTGTTCATTTCCTCATTGGGCCATTGGGAGCCTGAGTTGGATGGCATCAATGATGTGGCAAGCTCCAAGCATATTGAGACCGCTGTCCATCCATCCCACAATGTCAAAAGGCGGCGGTGTGCCCTTGCTTCCAAAGCCACCAGCAGTGGAAGCGTGCCCACTTTGTCATTGTGTTTGCCTTCAACAATTCTTAGGCCTTGGGAGGCCTGACCTTGTGCTTTGCTGTTTCAGGCCGAAGCTTCATCCACTTCGCTCGTGGCAGCAGTTCTACTGCTGAACAACAGCGACCACAAGTGCTCGCACGGCTCGCGTGGCTTACTTTGATGCATTGACCGAGATTTAGTGTTTTCAAGCACAAGTCCTTGTTGTTTAGTGAGTTGCTCTCCGTGTTAGAATGGCACAATCCCGGGGCGCATCAAAGAAGGGTATGACCGTCGTTGTTGACATGCACGCATTGCGATGGCACAGTTGCGAGGCTGGTGCCGTACCGGTGTAAGCCTTTCAGCTGCCACAGACATGTGATGCAACTGCAATGATCACCCAACATTGCAAACTGCCAACAGGCGTGTCTCTTTGTCTCTGCCTGGTTCACTGAGACTGCACTCAACGGCACAGTTCCTTAAAGACATTGAGCACAACGCAGGACCAGTGACGTCTCACCAATTTGTTATGCAAGATGGCGTGTGTCACGCAGGCCAGCGATTCGCGTCTTAGGACATGTGGACTCTTGTGTTTTGCCAAAGGCATCAGTTGGCCCTGATTATTCACCAAGCAAGAAGTTGTCAGGAAGCCTGCGGTCGTCAATGCAATCACTGGCTCTTTTTAAATATGGCCAGTGCTGTGGTGCTGGGTCGGACCATAGAGAGATGTCGCAAGCAGGACGTTTCCAGCACTGTAGACTGGTCTGTCTATACCGGTCTGTCTTTTTCCACTCTGACGCAATCGTGGACACGCCTACGTGCCGGTTGGTTTACGAGACGCTATTAGGCTGCACTTGAGGTGCTGTATTTGGCCGCGGATTGGAACATACAGGCCTCGGGTGGATGTTGTCCAGCGAAACCCACAAGAGCCGAATCATGTGGAAGCGTCCCCACTTGCTACCCAGCCATGTCATGTGTTGTGCTCCTTCCTCTGTTTTTTAGTGCAAGTTTCCACTGAGGTTAATTGCCAACTTCATCTGCGGAAAGATCAGATGGGTGCAGCTGGTGACTGAACGAGCCTTGGCATCGAAAGCGAGAATTGGAAGCCTGGGCCACCACTCCACAAGGGTAGTTGTTTGTTTCTTCTGGGGTTTGGTGCGCAAGTGGACGTGGCTATGTTTTATTCTGGGGAACAACCTTCCAAAGTGGTTGGTGTATACAAATCCCCATGCACACGATGTAGCAAAGGGTCCCCAATTGACATAACATACCCATGTCAGCTTGGCGCATCCTGGTTTGCGTGTATTCCCATCAAGCGAGCCGAGAGGAGGAAGCTACCGATATGGTGACCTCTGATGAAATCCCACCGTGCACCTAAGGACAATTTGCAACCACTGTTTGCTAGACAAACTTCTGTGGTGTGTTTTATTGTTCTCGGTCATGTGGGGTTTGTCGGGAATTCCAAATGAAGTCGCTGTGGCTTTAAAGGGAACAAATACAGACAACACATTCAGCTCCTTGAAAGTGAAGCCGTTCCGATATGCAGGCCGGCTTACAAGTGTCAATTCTGGCCAGGACTCCAGCATCCTCACCATGCTGCACCCTTCAGCTGCCGGTGCCTAAATCTCAATGTGTGCGCCACCGAGCAAACGGGCAGGGAGGCTTCGGGAACCCTTCGCCCAGGTTGCGGCTCGCGGAACTGCGATGGTTTGACAATGAAGCCGTGGCTTCATACGGGCTACGGGGTTTGACCGCGCTTGGCCCAGATTTTTGTTTGATCTTCCATTTGTCGGGATCAGTTGCACAAATTATTTGCCCAGATATGCAAATGTGATTTCGTGTCGACATTTCATGAGAGGCTGAGCCCGGGAGGGTGTAGTAAACCACCCTCTGGACATGAGATATAGAATATGGATTGGATAAAAATACAAATTATGCATTTATCCCGGCACCTCCAAAATATTAGAACAAAAAGAAATTGGTTTTATGAATGAAATTTCATTAAACCGATATAAGGGTCGTTGAAAAACCCCTCGTTTCTTATCTTTAGTCTATAACGAAATATAGATAAACAAAATAAAAACAAGAACAAAAAAGAAACAGACAAAAAGGTATAAGGTCGCAAATATGAATTATTATTATGTTTTATTATTATTAATATGGAATATTATATTTATTATGATTATAAGGTATTATAATTAAGTATGTTATAAATTAAGATTGTTATTATTATTATATGAGTTTAAATATAAATTGTTTTATAAGATATTCTTTTAGATAAGGTTTTAATAATCAATTTGAAATAGTGTGAAGATATATATAAATGGGTATATGTATTTTGGATTTATATTTAGATATTAGCAGGTTTCGAAAATATATATTTGTTGAAATTAATTATTTTATTATTATTATAATGATATATACTATTATTATTAAATTTATTAATTATTTTTATTAATATTATTAATTTGAATTTTGGAATTTATGTAATATTTTGTAAAACAATAGGATATATGTTGTAATTGATTTTTTTGAAGATTATTAGAATTTGATTTTTGTTTATGGAGGAGATATTGTTTTAATATTGGTATGAATTATATTTAAATTTGGAAAGATAGACATATTATTCGTATTATATGTTTTTTTATACGAATCTTTTGATAAATGATTATTGGATTGATATATAGGAATAATATATATATATATTTATATTTTTTAGTTGAAATATATATTGAATCTATTCTCCAATAAATTGATATGGCTTCGAGATTATATTTTTTAAATATCGTAATTATGTTATAGCGTTATTTCAGCCGAATTGTTTTGTTGATGGTGAGCGGTTATATGTCTCGGTATTTTTTTCGCGACACAAATTCTTATTTTTTAGTGCGGCCCGAAAAATGTTTGCTAAGAATTTATGTGGCATAATCTAATTAAAATTTCTCGGAATTTGATTTATTATTGACGACCCAATTTTTAGATCTCTAGATGTTAGTCCCATAAGTATCTTTAGGATTTGATGAATTTCTAAAAACAATACTAACTAAATATTTGGGAATCTTTGGGCTTTAATCGAATTGAAATATCTCGATTATTTTTCTTTTTTATTCTTCTTATTTTATTATTTGTGTTTTAATTCCTTTTTTTTCATCTTTCTTTTTGTTTATCTTTCTCCTTTTTATGTATTTCTTTATGTTTTCTTTATTTTTTTATTTCTTATTTGATTGTTTAATTGATTTTTCTATTTAATATTATTCTTAATCTTATTCTTTTTCTATTTCCTTTTTTTTTTTTCTTTTTGTATCTGCTCTTGTCTTTGTTTTATATTGATGAAAGAATATATATATAGATATAATTAAAGAAATATTAAATATATCTTTAATATATATAATTCTTAAAATATATATTTTTCGAGTATAATATTTAAATTACTATTATTATCAATTCTGATATTCTTTCAATTTATAAATTAATATTAATTTAATAATTTTTAAAATAATATATATCTAATATTTAAATTATTAAGAATTATATATATTATTTAAATTATGAAAAAGAAAAAAAAATATTTTAGGTAATATATTTATATTAATTAATAATATTATATATATTTTTAATTTAAGGATTTTATTTGAACATTATTTTATTTTAAAGGAAAATAATTGATATTAATTTTATAAAATTATATATTATAATAAATTCATAATTCTAATATGTTTTTCAATATTCATTATAAATTAATAGATTTTAATAATTTGTTATTTTATATAAATATTCCTAATCGTTTAATTCGGGCCTAAATCTAACTAAACAATTTCCTACGGCCATATTTCTATTTATATATTTAAAACCGCCCAAACAAAATTTAGAAAAAAAATAGATATAAAATAAAATAAAAAACATATTCCAAATACCCTAAATAAACCAAACCAACCAAAAAAAAACTAAATGCATCACAAAAAAAATAATGCTTCTCCCAACCTACAATATATAAGAAATAAATCAACAACCATTCAATTAATCAAATCTATTCTAAAAAAAATCTAAAATTCCTTCAACAAAAATCAATAACCTTCATCTTCAAATCTAATCTACCAATTAATTAAAAATATGTAAAATAAATTAATAAGAATAATAATCATCAATCCTATATTTAAAAAAAAACATCATTTATTCAATTAAATCCAATCTAAAAATATACAAAAACATAAACAAGAAAAAAACATATATTAAAAAGAATAAACACAAATAAAATAATTCTCATTCAATCAAACATATTAAAACAAAAACAATAAATTCAATCTAAAGAGATAAATCAAATATTATCCAATCTACAATAACAATACAAAAAATAAATAACAATATAATACAAAAACAACAACAAAAAAAATAAATAACAAAAACCTATTAATAAAAACCAAATATAGAACAAACAAATCAATAACAATCATCAAACCCATATATCGTTTTTAAAAAACAATCCCCATAATAAATAATTTAAACCATATATTTCTCTAAATTCAATTATATTATTAATTACATATTTTGTTTCCTTAATAAATAAACTTTCCATATATAAAATAATATTAAATTTCATATATAATATATTATATTTATATATTATATTTATACATAACTAAATATAATAGCGTCTAATTATGCCATCTTTATTTTATATAACTATTATTTTATATAATGCAATTTTCTTATTCTATATTCGAAATCAATAATAATATACAATTATATATATATATAATCTTTCGGGCTACCCATAAACCTCTCGGGGTCCAAGTTCTCCTAATCTATTGAGGAATCGATTATATTATTCCTCATAAAACATTTTTTGTAATTATATCTTTAAATGGAGATACAATCATTTCGTAGAGAGATAATTACAAATTATATTCATACCTCATCAAATGATTGTTTTCGGATATGTTTTATAATACTATTCATTTTTGGAAAGCGGAATCACTAAGCCTGCATAGGAGTCTGCATTAGCATATCTCCAAATGATCTGGTAATTAATGTGCTCTTTACACTGCACAGACAAAAGGACTCAAGACGACATGGGCCACAAACGAAACTGCGCTCAAAATTGCACGCAAAAGAAACTGCAGAGGCATCGGAGGCTGCATTGGCATATCTCCTGATGTTCGTTCAGTCAGGTAAGGTGCTCTTTACGCTGCACAGAAGGGCCCAGTCAAAGATACAAAAAAAAATAGGCCGTGTTGCGCTGTGCTCAAACATGCGCACAAAGATTGGCACCAACCCTTGCATTGGGAGTTGGAGTAACTTAATTCTGCTCATTCTGTGTCTTCTTGCCAGTCATACTTGCTCGTGTCCCCCGCTGTGCGCGGCCTGTGTTGCACATTCCTTGGAGTTTCCACCTGTTTTCGAGACGCGCGTGGCGTCAGGTTGCAAGACCTTGGGCAAGAACTGGAACTCCTCCACGTGCAGCTGCCACTTGATGCTGGACTTGGGCCACTTGTCTGAGTCCAAGGTTCTCCTGACCTCTTCCGCCATGCTTGCTGGTCCACAAACAAAGATGGTGGCCGAGCTCAAACCCTTAGAATCATAGCTGGCAGCCATCTTTTCCAGCCAAGTTGGGATGCTCTCTGGCTGTTGGACCAGGTTGGAATCCTTGACTTTCACGCAGCTCAGGTTCTCGTCGTCCAAGAGATGCTGGAAAAACGGGAGAGACTCTTGACACAAAGCCTGACTGCGAAGTGACCAATAGATGCTGACCTTCTTTCCCTTCGCAGCTTCTGCGGGAAGCAGCGACAATGCAGGAGTGACTCCTACACCGCCCAGCACAAAAATGACCGCATCTGTTGTCATAGGGCATGGCCGTCCGTAGGGAGGCTGCAGTGATATCTCAAGCTTTTCCTTGCCCTCCAAGGCAGATGCGAGCTTTGTGGTGAACTCACCACTGACCTTCATGAAAATGGCCACGTTGGCATCATGCCTCCCATTGGCTGGGATGAGCGTGAAAGGATGGGCTACTGCGGAGATGCTGGGAATGTACAGCCGGCTCCACTGACCTGGCTGGAACTTGAAGCCTGGCACTGAGAGGTAGAGAAAAATGTGCCCAGTTCTTGAGACCTCAGACTTTTTCACCACGGCCTTCCCTGATGATACCCATATGTAGATTCTCTGGGCCAAGTAACCTAGAAGCACCACACAGTTCACCACTGCGGTGACAATACTGACGAGACTCCGGTGCAGGAGTGCAGCGTCGACCATGTGGTAAACTGTAAAGAGAAGTCCGATGAAACTCCTTCAGTGGTCAGGTGGTCAGCTTTAAGGGGTGGTCGCACCAGCAAAAGAGATTCTTTTTACATCTAAACACCCCAAACTCATGAGTTTATTCATGACCACCCCCTGACACAAACATGGCCCCATCTTTTTTGTTCACTTTTCAGTAGTTTCCTCGCATTCACAAGCTAACTTCGACAAGGCTCAGGAAGTGCAGCACTTTGAACTGGTCATAGATCAGGAACTTTGCTGGAACCGTCCCCATGAACATCAACACCAAGCCAACCAAGCCAAAGACTGCCTTCAATCGACCGAAGACCACACGTGCACCGAGTTCATCAAAGACTAAAACCAAATGTGCGAAGCCAATCACCAGGGTCATAAGGCCCAAGGTGTAGTGGATGCGCCATGCAGCTTCCCTTGATATCCGGACAATGTCATGAAAGCCGAACTTGTAAGATGCAAAGAGCATTGTGAAGAACATAGCCTTATTATGCTCGGCGAAGCAAAACGCGGAAAGTCACATTTGTAGGATACTTGTGCTTGAGCTTCAAAAGATTGGGTCGATGATAGCCTGTATGACCTAGTGTTGAAAGAAAGAGTCTTAGAATATCCTGCAAAAACTATGCCAGCTGACAGACAAACTCTTTCATGAGAATACACGCATTTGTCCCATCATAGTGCGATAGTGCTCAGTAGATCTCAGGCAAAGGGATTGTCTGTCAACATCTCATTGCTTCAGTGGCCATTCCACTGGCATTGCCAGTGCTGTCCAAATGTCCTCGGCCAGCCGAGGAGATAGAAATCAGCAGGACGCTCACGCACGCTGCGAAGACACCTCAAGAACCGGCGGCCGACCGCTGCAGTACATTTTCAAACATGCTAGCAGTTGTCTGACCCAAAAGGAGCAGACTTACAATCTGCTGGAGCACAAAGGTTGGTGTCATCTCTTTCAGCATTGTTGCAGCCACTCGGATGCTTCAACCCACCAGCAATGTCTATTCCAAATGCCGTTGATGCCGATAATTTTGCCAACGCCTTCAGCCCACTCGCAGAACAACACACCAAGGGCTAGTTGCACAAATTGCACTTCGAGTGTTTTCGTTGAGGGGCAACAGATTCAACAAGAACGCTTCAACTGAAGGCATGGACATGTGTACAGTTTACTTCCGAAGTTCTGAATGCAAACGCGCTGAGCTGATGCTGCTGCCAGGCCACCTGTGATGTTTGCTAGAGACCACTGCCGAAATCTGGCTGCCAAGCAAGCTTTTGAAATCGTACATGTCCATTTGGAGAGCAAGAATCCGGTCAATCCAACCAGGGGGATGCCTGCAAAAGTGAGCAAGATCACAGTGTCCATATCAATCCTCTCTGGCCTGAATTCCATGGTGCTCCGCAGAATGGGCCAGCTAAAGGCAACAGTTTCTTTGCCCGGCTAAAAAACCTGAGCAAGAAGGAGCGGCATTGTTCAGTCTACAATGCAAAAGGTGCTCATGCCTTGTCTGTCTCCATGTGCTGACAAAACGGGGGCAATTCGTGGATGCCTGGTCAGCTTTGCGAGGAAGGGACTACCGTGGGTCAAAGATTTGCCGTCACTTGCACGCACAAGCATTCATTCTTTCTGCCCGGGAAACACGTACAGCCCTGAAGCAGCCCGGGGCTCCGTGTCTCTATGCATCCCAAGGATTACTTCTCAATATACCCAGTGCAAATACGCATAACACGCTACTACAAGCAATGGGTTATCTGAATATTGTAGTATTCAAACTAACCGCATGCTTCCTTGACACATGCAAACAAGCTCAAATATCGTGTATATATATATATACACATATATATATATATATATATATATTAATATGCATACGCATCACGTATCTTAAAGATCTTAGTCATTTAATTTATCAAACATCAATAACATAAACCATATTAAGCTGTAGTTCCTTGATACAATATCATTCACACACACACATAATAATAATAGTAACACACCAAGTCCAAGTGTCACATGTAACAACCTATTAATAATAACATAATCATTGCACCAATGTTGACACAGCATATGTATTCGTAACACTTCAACATTCAATATGTTCATGCCACTCATTTGCTTCAATGAAAGCTCATATAATTCGAACATGTTCGAATATGTACAGTATCCCTTTGATGCCTCCTCAGCATCGGGGCAGCCTTGACTGTTGCATCAAGGGCGCAGCAAAGGCTGCAGCGATGCAAAGCTGCTGCAAAGTAGTGCATGACGGCCTTCTTGCTGGACGAGGCCATAGAAAGCAGCGTGCGCCCGCAAGCATCTCGATGCAGACTCTCGAACGAACCTCACGGCGCCAGCAGCCTGACCACCGACGCTTCTTGCAAAGCAGCACGTGGCTGGTGAGCTTCGTCCCGCTAGAAATCAAAGGTCACTCGAGGGTCGAGCTGTTGAGGTGTGCCAAGTCAGCCCGCACGCTTCTCATTGCCGCGTTGACGGCCAGGAACCCCAATCAGCTTAACCAAGTCTGGTCTGCCTCTCGATCATGTGAATGTCCTCCAAGCTGAGTCTCTTTTCTTGGCTATTGACTCACAAGCCCGAGCAGTGCAGCCCCCCCCCCCCCCCCCCCCCGTCATGGCAAACACAACGCAATGGGAAAAGAGCGTTTTGGACAGCAAGCAACTCAAGCAAAAGGGCTCCTTGTCCATCGGCGCCGCCTCAATGTATCCAACGGTCCTGGAGTAGACTCCTGCCAAGGGCAGGAACAGGAGAGCAGGATGAAAGAGGGTAAGAACTCTACAGGATCCCCCATTCATGACTAGTCCCACAGTTGATGCATATGTCCCTTGACTTCCTGTTTTCGATGCAGCAAAGAGGGAAACCATGCAGTCGTCCAACCATTTTTAAGTCTTCCAGCATGACCGGGCGCTCCCATGTGGAGGACATCCACGCAATTCCGTAGGACCAGCCATCCCGGTCCGTTCCCGCACCTTACGAGCGATCAAGAAACAGGTGAGCCAGGACCCAGTTGCAACCATCCATCTGCCATAATATGTTGATCTGGCAGCCCATGGGTGCTGACTCCAAAGTTTCAGGAGCCGGCCGGCCAGCAATCTCCACTCCGAGGTCGCAGAGAAAAGGCTGCCCAACCTGAGCTCTCGAGCAAATTGACTTCAATCGAATGAAGCTTCCTTTAAAAAACACCCTCCCACAAACATGGAAGCGCCACCCACTTGGAAGAACTACAATCGCTTTCAACCTGGTGGGTGATCTGTCAATTCCGGTTTGCCACTAACTCAAAGAGTTGGGCTACAGGGGAATCTTGCCTGCCAAGGAAGCAATGTGATTGCTGCAGGAACCTCCAAGTTGCTTGCACAAGAACAAGTGCCATTTCATTGCTGCAAACGTCCTCCTACGCAAGCCTTGGAAAACCGAAACAAGAAACAGCGACACTCGCAAACAAAGCTGGAGGTGGGAGTCATGCAAGGCCAGCAAACATCTGAGGTGCTGCATAAGCACTGTCTAGCAACTTGATGTTTACACATCAGCGTGCTCATATGTGCCCATCATATCAAGGGCCTGCTCGCGCGGACCAAGTCCCGACATACCAAGGGATTGTTCAATTGGACCAAGGCCCCATCCCCATTGACCCAGGGGAAAGAAACAGTAACCAAAAACACCCATGAATTTTACATAGGTGGCACTGAAAAAATGGTTGGAGCCAAGCAAACACCAGTGACGTCCATGTCCAAACAAACTGACCAAAGGACACTTCGGCCAACTTTCTGGGCCTGCAGGGCGGCAGCCTGCTGGAGGTGGCTTGGGAGCCTCGGATCGAAGGAATCTGAGCAGCCCTCTGCTTCACCCAAAAGCGGCGACACTCATGTGAACCCAGCCATGAAATTGTCGAGCAGCCATGAAAAGAACCCAGCTTCACGTTTTGATGCATCAAGTGAATGAGTGGCTGGAAGCTGGCAGGCAGGAAAAAAACAAGTATGTTGAATGTGTGGAAACAACACTTCAGATGTTCAATGCCAGTCCATCTTCCACGCAAATGCCCTGCAAAGTCTTGAAGGCAGGCTGGAGACTCCAATGGCCTGTTGTGCCTACTGCTAGTGTCCACAGGAAAACCCTGCCAGGCTGGTTTAAGGCTCCAGCGAGTGAGGCCTTGCAACTCAGGCGCGTCATGCAAGGAAGAATCGCACGGTGAAGTCGTGCTCTTGCAGCTTTGTTCGCGTGCTTGTTTTGGTGGAACCATGACCATCCGGCACAAGGATTGAGGATTGTTTTTGAACGTCGAAGCTCGACAAGCTACAAACACGTGCCTATGCACGTGCTGCGCACTAAAGTCCCAAACTACAAATTACATTATACCCAGCAAGCACCGCTTGGATGAGCCTAACTTCTCTACACACATACCCACTTCCGCTTCGCAAGTGACGTCGGCAAACACTGATCAAGCTGCACAGCTCAGCACCGAGCCCAAGGACAGGTGTGGGTGCCTCCGCCTGAGGGAAGTGCCCCAAGGACAGGGAGATAGGTTGCAGTTGGGGAACAGGAGTTTCTTTTTTGTGGGGGGGGGACACCAATCCCCCTATTTTGACACAACTCCCACAGCTTTCCCCGCTTATAGGTGCTATCATCGTGAATTACTTGGCGGGATAGATTTAGGGAATGGGGCCATCTAATTTCACCACTCTGATGTGACCTATTTTCCAACGATATATTCCCCTGCGGTTTCATGTTAACCCCGGATGAATCAACCCGTACTGGGTGGGGGGTGCTGAATCAGAGAAGGTATGGAACTCCGGAGTGCCCATAGCTGCCTTCCTCACGTCCAAGGTCCTGACCCTCGAAGATCCACCCACCTCCAAGCCAAGTCGTCCTCCTGCGATCGGGTCTTAAAGCCGAGGCCAACCGGAGATTTGGCCAAGAGAGGCGTCGCGGCACCGAAGAAAGAGTTCCAGCATGTTCCAGAATATCAAGGCGCGTTCGGGCCGTGACATTCGCATCCCAAGTCTTGCAATCACAGCCAGTCCGTGGGAAGGAAAGGCGTCTGCCAGTCGGAAGTTCCAGGCATGCGACCTCGGTCACACATGCCACGCGCATGCTACCAGAAACCAACGCCTGAATTTTGAGCCCATAATATTACGTATGAACCTTTGGTAACCGCCCGAATTTTGTTAATGCAATGGAACCTTGCAAGCTCAAGCACTTGGAAGAAGCGCCTACGAACATGCAACTGAAAGTAACTTAAAACATATCAAAAGGGATCCTCACCGCAGCTGTCACATCCCTTGACTCAACAAGTGTAATTCGGGAGAGCAACAAGTGTCAATCTCTTCAGAAGTAGGACTCTTTTGCACAGGCTCAGGCGGCAGCGTTCAACTTCAAAGACCTCAAGAACTCTCTGGCCAGGCCCTGTTGTGACCTTGGATTGTGCTGAGGGCCAGCAAGTACAGACTCGCTGTGAAAGTCTGCGGGATCTTAGGGTTTCAGGCGTGTTTAATGAATAGTGGGTGAAGCATATCGAGACCTGTCTCAGCCCAGCCACGCTGCAGGCTTTCTTACCCAAAATGCAATGACACTCGCATGGCTTTACAGCTGGCCCTTTTTACACATCACACGGGACGAAAAAGACAGCACAGCGGAGCCCTGTGTGTGTGTGTGTGTTGTTCGGCAAAGTACCCGCCGGAACATGAAGAGGAATCTTGGAAGGCAAATCGTGTGTCTCCGAGAGAGAATCGGTTCATCTCAGGACGATATCGCGAACACCCATGTCCAGTGAGCGCCTTTTTACGCTCTTGTCTTTTGCTGCTTCTTGATGTTGCAGTGCTTCCTCGAAGCAAGCATGGCGCACCAAGCTCTCTCTCTCTCTCCCTCTCTCTCTCACCGTCTGGAGCCAACACGACGTTGAAGTCTTTGGCAAAAGGCATCAAAATATGAGTTGGGCTCACGCTGATCTGTACAAGCCACCCAAATAGCGCGTCTGAACCAATCTCAACTGATAATTGGAGCCCAGAGCAGCATGCTCATGAGACTCGCGGAAAACTGAAGGCGAGCATCGCAAGATGCATAAAGGCGGGTCAAAATCAAGAACCCAGGACGACCTCTTGAAAGGCAATCAAAAGGCCGGCCATTGTGGCCCGAAACTTTACAAGTAGCCAAATACCTCAGACTGTTGAGGGCGAGAACCCTGCTTTGATGCAGGCTGTCATGACCAGCTGCGCAAGGTACACAACTGCGAATGATCCAGCCACATCCTGGATGGCAGTTTCCATCCTCGGGTCCAGCTCGAGCAAATAAAAATATGGCATTTACCATGATCTCAAGTCCGAGGAAGTGGGCCAAAGGGTTTCAATGTCTGTAGGGAGAATGTGACTTGGGGGAGAAAAGGCTCACTTGAGCCCGGCAATGCCGCTTGCATCGCGTTGAATCCGCCTGCACACACCTGCCTCTTGCGTAGCCGAGGGGCGGCCCTGCCCACTTGCCAGCATCGCCGTGGAACAGGAAGGAAAACACCAAAGGTGCCTAGCGTCAGCTAGCAACATGGAAAACATGCAGTGGTAAGAGCTTGAGCCTGCTTCACACACGCCAGCATTTCACACACCGGGCCAAAGAACCGCCCTTCTAGCCTTCTGGCGCGGGCCCCTTGACAAAGGCTGCCATGTTTTTCCAAGCTGCTGCGGTTCCGGTAGCGCCGGCCACTATGACGCTGAATGCTTGCGAGAGGGCCACGGTAGCAGCAAAACCCACATCAACACCTCGGGAAACAACAAATAAACCAATGCATAAGCACATACATAAAGCAATATGCAAACACCTGTGTATATACATATATACATTTTAGCATGCTATGTATTCTTCATTTAGATCTATGTGTATGTAAACGTGACTGGGCCATCCGACTGCTTTTGCAAATGCACCAGCTGCTAGGGGTAAGAGCAACAGCCTTGGGCCACTTCTGTTCCTTGGGGGCACCCAGCCTCGACTGGATCTTGAGAAGCATGCGATGTCAGCGCGTTCTGGCTGCAAACTGGCAGCACCCTTGTTGTCTTCCATACTGGATGAATGAGACGCGAAAGAGAGAGAGAGAGAGAGAGAAAAACAAACAAAAACAGAAGGAACCACCAACCATCACACCATCACACAAACAAATCCTGAATTTCCGCAGGAACCTGAGCACGGCGCCAGTGTCAAAGGACTGCATGGTCCACACCAGCGCCAAAATCCCCACGGCCACGCCCGTGGCCACGGACAGGATGAGAGCAGTGGCAATCTCCGCCCACATCCAGCCCAAGAAGCTCGCTTTGGTGCAGCTCCTACAGCGCGTCGGGCGCTGTAAGAGTCCAATCCAAGCCACTGGAACTGTATGTTGAGAAAACCGGGGGGCATGTTTAAGAGCTTCTTTTTTGGTCCACTTCGGCACGAACAAAACTCTACACTGACAGGCAATTATGTAGGAATCTGTTTGAGTTTGTCCCAAATGCTTGTGTCAGATTGGTTTACTTGTCATGTCCTTCAGAATGACTCAACAAAAAGCAGCCCCAATTTTGACACCTCGCAAGTGCCAGGCTTCCCCAACGAACTTCAGCTCTCAACATCATTCCACTTTTTTCTCTACCTTTGGTGGCCAACCCACTGCGCCAACTCATACGCCAAACTCCCTTCGATTCCGGATGCCGAGGTGCCCGTGGGATATGGCCCTGGTGGTCAAGGAGGAGGCCTGGAGGCCCACGTTGCCAGAGATGGCGGAGGTGAGGGGCAGAAAGGCCATGAGCAGAGTGTACCGCTGCAGGCCCACCAGCTCTTTCAGGTCCTATGAAATGGAGGGGAGTCAGGCATATCGCGATTCTTGTAGTCCGGCAAGATGCTACTTACTGGACACATGCGTCTTCTGTATATGGTCAAAATACGGAGTGCAAGGCTGCTGCCAGATTTCCAGATAAGATTTGGGCCTTGAAGCCATATTGCAAAGGTGCCCAGCCAGCGATGCAGTCGGGAAACTGCATGGCTCGAGAAACCCTTTTAAGTAACAATGCCGCAGCACAAAGGCAACGATCCCGACCGATTTGCTTTTGACATGCCAAAGGGCTTCGTAGCTTCTTGACATACTCCAAGTCGCCACACCCAACAGGCTTTGCCTCCAAATGGGGAATCACAAAATGGGTGGTTTCCCTTCCAACCCTTGAGCAGGGGGCGGTCCCGAAAATCGCAAAACTCGCGTATCCGCGTCTTTGACGGGCCAGCCAGCCGCTCCTTGGACCCCCCGTTGATGATCAAGGCCACCGGCACCTCCACCGCCAGCGTCACCAGCAGCGCAAGGTAACGCTCCGGACATGCCCGCGCCAGGGCGCCGGCCTCCAGGCTACGGGTGGCAAGGCTGTGGATTGGACACCCTTGCAGGTGCTGGACTTGAACCCCTCAAGCATGAACATGGGCAGGGGACATGCCTTTTTGCAAAACCGTTCAGAAGTGCTCTGTGGGTATTCATGTTTTGTTCGACAAAGTGGAGGAACTCTTGCAACAAATGTGTCTTTCGCCTTCTGCCTTCAATTTCTGGCAAATGCGACGTTTTGAAGAGAGCAAATGCGCTTCGCAGGAAGGAAACACGAAAGGAAGAATGGGACAAACAAACAATATCAATAACATGACATTCCAAGTGACGTAAAACAACATACACGACAACCTGACAACAGCACGGGGTTTCATGGCTTTCACGAGGAGGATCGACCAGCAATACATCACGGAAAGCACAAATCACCCATCAACAGGCTGGGCAACCGCCAAAGCCGCACCCCTAACATGAACATTTTGGTTGGAATTCAACATAACACCAACAACGTACTATTTGGCCTTGCTTCAGGGCTCTTTGGCGGCTCCAAATCCAAGGCTCCGCTCAAGTTCTTGTGTAGTTCTGGCAAACCAGGATGAATGAAGCCTCCTTTGACTAATACTCTCTATGCTTCATTAAACTGAGGGACTCACCGACGGGCTGAGTAGTCAAAATCTGGGGCGTTCCTCAGGGGGTCGACCTTCGGCCTCGGCGTACGACCGCTCTTTCTCCTGCTCTGCTGCCAGGTCGTCATCGCTTTGTGAGCGAATGCTGCCTTGGGGTGATGGTCCCACTTCGCTTCACATCCCCTGGACTGAGAATGAGGTTTGATATGGAACTCGAAAATCTGAGCATATGATGAAAACTCCCGTTCTATCAAACCAAAGCAACAAACACTTGAGAAAGGGAAGACCGACCGCTGGCACCGATTGCCGTCAGTGCCAACGTGTGCCTTTTTGTCTGCCTAACCCTTGGAAGTAGAGCTTGTGGCCCGCGCAAAGCTCGCGTATTGTCATAATGCATATGTTGAACAAATGGCAATGCGTACTGCCAACCACCTGCCACGCTGCAAACTTGTCCCACACTGCAGCCCCTGCCACACCCAGGTTTGTGCCCACAATCTCGCCACCCTCTCCCCAAGGTACAAACCTCAAGCAAAGCCTCTTTGAGGCCAGCTTTCGGGACAGTTGTCAGAATACATTGCTGGATGTCCCTGGCACTGTGTGCAAGATGCTTCTTTGTCGAAGAACAAAGCGCTTGTGCCATGCTGAATCGAACCAAATCCCGCTGCCTTTCCTCAACGAATGCTGGCGGGGTGCGCAAGAAATGCTCGAGGTTTGATTGGGGGTTTCCATTTGGGAAGATGAAATGTTGACCACCCATAGAATCGCTCCACTCGATTTGCCTCCGTGTCGCTGAAAAGGCTATCCAGCTCCGAATCGATGCGGCCACCCAGCGAGGTCCACATGTCCACGGGCACGCTCAAAGAACGCTGCATCTCCGGCTGTTGGTTCTCCTTCCCGGCCGAGAGGTGAATCGATGGAAGATAAGAGTTAACTCTCCGGATTCCTTCAACAATAATTGCTTCTAGATAGTAATAACTAGTGAGTTCTCATATATGTCAATTTATTGTTCGTCTAATATCGCTTATCAATGTATAATCTATATATTGTCTATGTCCATCACTTCACATCCTGAAGACTTAGCTACTTCTCTGGCATGTCTCTCTTCTTTTTTCCACTATCATTCATTGAATCGAATACGGTATGACTCTTTGCGAGGTGCAAATTTGGTTGTTCCCAAAACTTGGGGGCCAGTAGCCTCTGCATCTCGCTGAAGCCATAAGCTTCTTGACTTTGTCCCGAAGGCCCCCGAGAGGCGGGCCTCGGTGGTCCTCTTGATACCGGAAGCTTGGGACTAGCAAGCTTGGGATACCTCCGAGCAAAATCTTGCACCTTAGAGGGGCGGAAAAACCCTGCCTCGAGGGGTCATGTTCTGGTGATGTTTTAGAAGGTAACGCTGCTGCACTCGCCTGGAGGCCATCCGAGTCGTGATCAGCCTGTCCGATGGGCAAAGACTGGCTTGGATTCGTGCATTGGCTTCATCCCGAAATGGATTGGACAATTTAAACCGTGTCTGCTTTGGTCCCTGGGTGCGCCATAAACAAGAGCACGCGCGGGCTTGGGGCATTGAGCGGAAGCCTTCTTAATCACCGCTTTCTTTTTGGTTCGAGACAAGGTAATACAGGAGAAGTCCAGCCCCTCATGCATCGAACAGTTGTTGCCTACAACTGCTTTGGAGTAACGTGGACGTGAGTTTCCGATAAATACTCAGACCTTGAAGAATTAGGTAGGCCCGTCAAAAACGTGGAATTGCCCAGCCGCGCAAGCCTCGCCTCTGGCTCCATTATCAAATGCTCGCTGAGTGACGGCATACAAGACTTTCGATGCTGTTGTTTGAACCCGGCAATCTCCTTCTGTCTCCTTCATTTAGGCGCTAACAAGGCAAGCAAGGCTTGCACTTAGCAGTGTTTTGGCCATTTGCTCGTTTGCGATATGGTGCAATCCATGTGGTGCTTCCTGTTGGCCGCAAATGCATATTTCAGTGAGCCAAATGCTGAAAGCGCACTTCCAATATAATCGTCCTCCCTGCCGAGAAGGACTCTCCTCACAGCAGGCCGCTGCTAAAACTGCGGCACCCCAAACATCAAGTCGAATGCACATACATTACATTACATTACATTACATTACATTATAGTACATTGCGTTACAGCAAAATTACAGTACAGAAAATTATATTAAAGTAAAACTACATTAATGTACACACCTACATACATACCTACCTATGTATGTATACACATAATGTACCTATCGATGCCGCTCGGTGTTGAAGCATTTGAATTTTGGCCGATGGCTGCCTTGTGTAACTGCCCGCCTGTCGCACTTGGGACCCCGGGCCCCGACATGCGTGACTTTGGACTGCCTGCACAGGCGGAGATTGCTCAAACATGCCGAGCTTCAGGGAGTCACCAGCAGGTGCTGAAGACAGCGCACAATGAGGGAAAAACCAACAATTCGAGGAATCCCCTTGCAATGAAACAACCTCCCCAATAATGCCTATCATCCCTGAGCAATCACAGGGAGACGCAACATTCCACAATTCTCAGCGTCCTCCGTGCAAGTGATAGGCTCACAAGAAATCACCCAGTTACCACGTGCCAACCTTGGGAGTCTTAGAAGACAACTCTCCAGCCGCTGTAGTCATATGCGCTAGGGTCTTATTATACAAACCGGGGGGGGGGGGGGGATCCCATGACCCAGAAGCCGCAATAGGTGCGCCTCCGCCCATGTGCCATCTGCCGAGACAGGTTGCTCCAGGAGACACTCCTGACATCAGACCGGTCCGGCTCCCAGGATCGCTTTGTAGAAGGTTTTGCATGGAAACTGAAGAACCAGGGTCCTCACTTTTTGGCAACACCCAAATCAACCCAGGATCTCAACGCGGGAGCTCCAGCTCCTGTCTGGGCTGAGAAGCGCCGAGCGGAAGGTGGAAACCAATGCCGCACGGCAGGCCTGGCAACTGACAACTTTTTTTTTTTTGCCGGGCAGGTTTAGGGCTTTGGGTGAATTTAGGGTTGGTTTAGGATGGGCTTAGGGTGAGTAGTTCAGGATGGGTCTAGGGTGGGCTTAGGGTCAGTCTAGGTGAACAAAAGGTGTGGCTTCCGGAGCAGCACCTTAGATACATGTCCATGGCATGCGAACCTCAATGAATACCTTGCCACTGAAACGGCAAACCAACGGCCTGCCAAAAGGCTCGGGATAGACAGCGTGCCAGGCCCCCCTTGCTGGTTCACAATGCTGCTTCATTTTCTTGGACTATGGCGCCAGGACTGATGGCTAGCAAAATGATGTGCTTGTCCAGCAGCCCAGTCCCGGAAAGAAGCCCAACAGGTGATAGGCTGCCGTTTTCCCTGTAAGCCAGGAAACTTGCGACTCTTCATGGGTGTGAATTTTACATAACTTTATAGGGGATTTGGTGGACATCAGTTAGGTGGGAATTCATGCCCACCAAGCACTTGGAGGAGGTTTTTAATTGAAATGTATGCCCTTGCCACGCATGGTGTTGTGGTCCCTTATGTATTCTTGCAAGCCACTTCTGGTCAGTGGTCGTGAATTGGCTGAGCCTTGTCCAGGGGAGCCGAGAACAGCGGCAGAACCTAGGAATTCGAGCACAACAGGCAGGTAGTGATGCGTAGCACGTGCAGGTCACGCTAAGCGTCCAGCAAGCCTGCTGCCATCTGCCTCCTTGGTCACACAAAGTCGCGATTCTTCGTTCAGTGCACCAATTTTCCTGTTGCAGGAGAAAGAGTAAAGACCGCTCCTTTTGCGAGCCATTGGTGGCCCAGTCGCACGACAAATGATCTCTCTCTCTCTCTCTCTCGCTCGCTCTCTCTCTCTCTATCTCTATCTCTCTCTCTATCTCTCTCTCTCTCTCTCGCTCTCTCCCTTGGCACGACAAATGATCAACTCAGAGTGTTCAGGGAGCAAAGTGAGGCAGTGAGAAAAGTCATGGAACCTCATGAATGCATTGTCATGGCTTCCTTTTTGTGTGGCCAAGTTTTTGGCGGAACGTGACAAAACTGCACCACACTTGAGCTCTCTGAGTGTCAGTCCAGCAACTCCACCAGATCACCGCTTTCGTCCACTTCCACCGACTTGGATGAGAACAACTTTGGTGCGGATAGTGGCTGACAGCGAAAAACATATACAAAGACATTTAGCACAACATTTGGCAAGGATATGCCAAACATTGGCAAATTGCCTGCCGCGATTGCTCACAGGAGATCAAATGCGCACTACACTGCGCTCAGGCTCTGACTGTGATGTCCGAGAAGTTGCAGCGGCGAACGCTCCTCTGCCTTACAACGCTTGCCAGAAACCAGGTTCTTCAAGCAAAGCTCGAAGTACACTTCCCCATTCAGACAGCCTTGAATCAGCCCCAGAAGTTCGAGGCATACTATGGGCCCTCACCGCGGAACGCTGGGTGCAGCAGTTGACCTGGGCAAGGCATACTCCAGTCTTGGCAAGGAAACCCCGCAAAGTTCCGGAGTTTCGATCAGGCCCAGCAAAGGCTCAGGGAGTGGAATCCTGGGCGGGTACCAGCTGTTGTGAAGCTAAACTACATGGGAGGCGACCGCCTGCTTGTTAGCAGAAGTCTTTGGTCACGTGTACTTGTGTGTCTTTTACACCAAGCCCTGCAGATTCAGCGGACTGAGGACACTACGAACGAGCCGGAGACATCAACTGAAGTGCCTGCCAACGTGCAAAGCTGCCAAGGGTCATACCAATTCTGCCCATGCCCCCATCTTCTTTCACGTAACCACGTAGCTTCACTTGAGCTTTCGGGTGTTTCTTGGGCCCCGAGAAACGCCAACCGCCTTGCTTAGCGCTGCTTCCCAAAACGGGCCATGAATTCCAGGCAGAACAACCGCAAACGGAAACGGGCCTGCTCATTGCCCATTGCCTCTAGCTGCGGCTCAACAGGAGTGGCTGCAAACAGATCTTTGCAAGCGAGCATGAGTGGCCTGGAACGGACGCCCAAGAACGGACCGGCTATGGACAAAGCAACTGTACCCATGTGATGCGGAACCCACCCTCTCACTTCCACGGCACCGAGGTGGCATTCGAGACCCAGGGCCAACCAAACATCATGAATCCATGCGAGAGCTACTTCTGCCATGCTCCACTACAATTTGCCCTTGCGGGTCGCCTGGTCAAGCACAACTCAACCCGCCATGCTGCACGCACAACAGTGGCCTGAAAGACCCTGAAAGAGCCTACATTGTGGCGTTTGTCTTTCCAGCTGCGCTAGCCACATCCTGGCGTTTGCCCCAGTCTGTAAACACCTCGCCAGCAAGAAGTGAACCCCGAAACTCTTCAATGTCTCTTCCATGAACTCCAGAAACATGTTCTATGTCATGCGCCACTTTTCTGAAGGGAAGAAGCCAACTCGGCACACCTCGCCTTATGAAGAACAGGTTTCCAAAGTGCCTCTGACAAAGAAGCAAGCGTGCTGTGACACCTGACGCTGCTTTCATTTTGCAGCTCTTGGTCTTTTCTGAGCTGGGCGGTATATAAGGCCGCGACCTCCAAAATGATCTCAGCCACTAAGCAGTGCCTGAGTCAACACAACCTAAGGCAGAAAGCCTGATGGTGTTCATCCGCTTGATCATCCAAAACCCGCATCGCTACAGTTGGCGAAGCAACAGGCAGGAAGTGAATAGCGGGCTTTCAGCAACACACGATTCGTTTGAAAGCTTATTCGTCCGCCCTGCTGGGCACCAGCTGGGAGCTGAGGTTCAGACTGCGTGAAGAGCAGCAAAACGGTCACCTGGCGCAAAGGCGGAAGCCTAGAGTCTCGTTGCAAGTGTTGTAGGATGGCGAAGGTAGACGCGGGGGGGCCGGGGGGGGAGGCCGGCGGGGGGCCGGGGGCTGGCCGGGGGGGGGGGGGGGGAGCAATTTTTGGAATTGTTTCCAGGGCTCATTGCTTCAGAGCCTGTGGGATCTTGTGCTTCAACATCAAACGCGTCAGCCTTTGACAATCCTCTGCCTGTTGTCAGGGGTGGCACGATACGCTTCAACCGGCCTGGCTGGTTTGCTGCGTCAGCGGCACCACCTGACGTCGTCCCAACGCGTCCGTGTTCACAATGAGGTTTGTTCCGGGGGGGGCGGGGTTCTTCTGCTTTCAGCGAGGCGGCCCAATGCCTCAAACTCTGGCCAAAATACAAAGCTGGCTTTGGGTGTTCCCACTGGTAGCATTTCAGTTTTGTTTCTTGGGACATTCTGGCCGGTCTTGAGTCTCGAGGACCTCAAGTGGGTATTGTGCACAAGCGGGTAACACAAACGCGGGTTGCAGTGACTCTGTCAGTTGACACTGTGCAGCCGGTCGTTTTGTTCCTGGCACGCATGCTAGTGGCAATATGCATCAATCTGCGGTGAAGAGTCAGGTGTCAGACAAACAGCCGCAATGCGCTTCCACTTCCATGAATCGACTCTCGGCGTTCAGGCTTGACACCTGCCAGCTCCATTTCTGGCCGCAAGTCAGCAAAAGAGCACGGGACAAAGAATGCCCCGGGGGCCCTTTAAAGCCAGGTGCATGCACCGAATTTGTCCGGACTAGCTCAGGGACACAGGCTCAAACTCTTGGGTCCAGCCAGCCGAGTCTGTCTGGAAGTCCGTGTCTGGCCATGCCTCCTGGCGGGGGAGCCATGCAAACCGTCCCAAGCAAAACCCATAACCAAATGCACGTGGCATGGATTGAAATGCACGCGGGGCGACACACACACACACACAACCAACCAACCAACCAACCAACCAAACAAACAACCAAACAGACAAATAAAGCATACATAAATGAACACGGGAAAAAAAAACAACGGACAACCACATGCAATCAAGAAAGCAAACACCAAGCAAACAAAGAAGCAAAGACATAAATCCAGAGGAAAAAAAACAAAACAAAAAACACCCACACACACACACCGCAAAAAGAAGCACGTACACGCACAGGAAAAAAAAAAACAGACACACAAACACAACAATTAACAAATCAAACCAAACCAAACCAAACCAAACCAAACTAAACCAAACCAACCGAACGAACAAGCGAGCAAGCCAAACAGCACACACACACACAAATAAACAAACCAAACAAACACCCCAAACAAAGCAGCAATCAATCAAAACAAGACAAACTGAGTCAGCCAATCAAAACCAACCAACCAATAAGCACACAAATACATATATCCCACACCCACACCAATACCAACACCAACAACAGCACCAACACCAACATATCCATCCTTATTTGGGAAAACCCGTTGCAGAATAAGACAAGCCATCCATTTTACTTGAGGCACCCTTCCAAAGAACCCTAAAAGGGCTTCAGTCCCCTAATTACCTGATGAGCATCGCTGCTGGATTCAAGCCCAAGCTCAGGGGGCAAAGGCCCAGTCGTGCTCATCTCCTGCGAAACCTCCGGATCTTTGGCAAAGGGAGCTCGGTCAAAGCAAGCCTCAGCAGAAACTCCACAACAATTTCCAAATTGTGCAGCATCGATCGACTCAGACGCAGTTGACTGTACTTGTGCGCAGATACATGGTGGTTCTGATTGTTGTTGGAGTGTGTGTGTGTGTGTGTGTGCGTGTGTGCGCGTGTACGTGCACTTGACGCGCAGCAGTGAGGAAATCTAACGACCTTGCGCGCCTGGCCAAGTTTACTTCAGCTACGTCTCATGGACGCACAGCAACATGAGTGTCACCCGGGCCAAGAAGAGAACAATCTGTTCAAGACCCTTCAGGCTTTGCAGTTGTCAGGCACAACATCCGGATGAGTTCGCATGGGGTAGGGCAACACAGCTGAGCAACAGGCGAATCGGAATCGCGCCGTTTTAAGTGCGCAGCCTATATCCTAAGGCTAGTAATCGAACTTGCGACGAGCTATCAGAGTAGTAGCTTGGCAAGTGCTTGGAGTGACAATGATTCGATAAAAGGGCTCCTTGACATTCTCTCCAACGCAGTGATTCAAAAACTGTGGGTCCTCGGTCAAGCGACAAAGCTTGGAGCTTGATGAATTGGAGCTGGCTGTGGCTCGAACCTCGGCGCTCATATTCGCTCAAGACGAACGACTTTATGTGCAGATGGACAAGGACGTGCCAAAATCACAGCTCGCCCTGAACACTACCTGAACTGTAATCGTACTTGCCCGCCTGGAAGCTTCCAAAGCGCACGACTCCATACGTTTCCAACGCGAACAAACCGAGAACCACAACCACGCTACACCACTGCCCGTCGACGAGGACAGCAAACCGGATCAGCAATGAATACTACGCAACAAATTGGAAAAACAAACAAAATGATACACCAATGCAAGCAAACACAAGCAAAACCAACAAGCCAAACAAGCAAACACCAACACCCTCACCAAGAACAACAAATTGCATTCTCTTCCCTTCTGCCAGCTTGCGCTCCCAATGCATGCCGAGCGTCGTCACCCAGCCAGCGCGCTGCCTGCGGTCCAAGGACGAGGGGACCTGCGCCGCACGACTCAATCGAGCCAAAGGAAAAAAAGGGCAGGGACTCAGTCGAGTTCCTTCCTTGCGAAACTAAACTCCCTGTGCAATGTATGCTCTTCAAACCTTCAAGAAACGCCGCGGATGATAATTGGATAAGTCATGATACGTTGCCCTCCACCAAAATGGGTTGTGTACAGTTCAGTTCATGTTATGGCCCTCTTCACGCCAGGGGCCTGCCTTCCGGGTGAAGCTGCTTGCGCTGGACGATCTCGGGCGCCGCCCAGTGCCAACCGCCTCGCACAAAGGCTCCTCAAAGGCTTGTCCTCAGACAACAGGTGTCCGCGCGTGAGCAAATTCCAAACGCTCACCCGGCCCTTCGAATGTGATAAAGTTCCAGCACTGGGTGAATCCCATCAACTTCCCATAGGGCCAGTTGATCATAGGGAGGTAGTGGATTCGTGGATGGCAAAGGACCCAGCACCGCTTCCCAAACCGCATGGCCCCCTTTGGCCGAGCAGCTCAGGAGCTCCGCACTGCTCGGCCCACTGGATGCGCTAAACTCGAAATCACCTGCGCCGGCGTTCCCCCTAGTAATGATGAAGGTCCCCCTGACAATAGAACTTGCTTTCCAAAACCCCACAGATCCCAATACTAGGTTAGACTAGCCCGAATTGAAACCAATACAAAACTCGCGATTTCTCCCACCAACCTCTTTTCCAGTCATATTACAGGAGCCGCTGCTGGCAGTCACCAAGTACCTCTTTCTAGGGACAAAACACTGAAACAACTAGGTTGCGGCTCCCATAAACTCCTTGCTAAAAACAAGCCCGTCAACTTTTTGGGGCCCAGAAAGGGGAGTTTTTTCAGAACTAGTTCGGTCTTTCTTCCTACTCTGTCTTCTACATCCCTGTTCGCTACCTTTTGTTGCAAGGAAAACCAACTAGGTTTGAGCTATTGAAATCGTTTTGGTTGGGCATGACCTACTCCCACCAGAAGTGAACCAACAAATGATTTGGACACCCCAAACCTGGAACTGGGGTTCCCCTGACTACAGCTGATCTCGCGGGATGCTTTCTTAATTTGGGCGGGGAGGGGGGGAGGGTGTTATTTATAGGGGGAACAGATTGGTGCCAGGGCCTACCATTGCTCCACTGACAAACTGCATCGTTACGGGTGCCAACGGAAGTCGGTCGAAAACTACGGGAAGTTCACTTGGGCTGTGTCCTGCAATTGAAAGGCAATGACGTGCAGTCTGCAATGAATGGCCTCCGGAGTCGCACCCCCTGCATGAAGTACTCACAAGGCAGGACACATGACCAGCCCCCAACACGACCAGCCCTCTCTTGGCTTGATTGGAACGAATCAAGGTCTGGCCCGGGGCACATATATGTAGCTGAAGGCTCTTTTTGCCCAGGCAGGCGTCGGGCCTGAGAAAATGGATGGCTCAAAGCCATAGCCCCAGCTCAAGTTCGCCTCGGGTTGTAGCCTTCGGCTCCTCAGATCGGGATGTGTGAAGCATCGGTGTCGTGGGCTGGGCAACTGGTGGCTGTCGAGGGACGCTTTGGGCTTGACGCTGAGCTTGTTTAGCTGTGAGTAACTGTGAGTATGTCCGGGCTCAATAAAAGAAGCTTAACATCTTCAATAATTCCAACAATTAAATCAAACCATCAGGATGCACGCAGAACAGGCCTCAGCTCGCATGAGCGTGGAAATGCACAACTCCAACCAACTGGCTCCACAGCAATCGATCCTGTCCTGAGTATTGGGTACTGGCGTATGCCTGCAGCCAGATTTCCTTCAACTACAATAAGTAATCCTTCAACACCTTGCAAATACAGCAGGCGAGGCTAAGTGGAAATCAAGTTTCGTACTGAGGAAAGTCATGGCGCTCTCCACCTGGTCAGCTCACACACAAACACCCGGGCAGGGCTCAACTGATGATATGTTGATATGGACACACCAATGTAGAGGATGGTCATAGCATTGTTGCCACATCAAGCTACCCTATGATGCGAATGTTGACCATGGATGGGGCCTGAGGGCCTTTGTCAGATGTGGGGACTCGAGGACCCCCTTTGCATTTGTTTTTCCCCAAACAGCGAAGCATTGGGGTTCTAACTTGAGGTATAAAGAATGGGAAAGTGTGACGGCGGTTCCGGGGTCCTGTTTTCCGCTTGTCTTCCTGTCTCCCAGTCTCTCCGGTCAGATGCCAGATGCTGTGACGCTGGCTCCGGGGTCTCCCAGTCTCCGCGGTCAGATGCCAGATGCTGTGACGCTGGTTCAGGGGTCGTGTCTCCCGCTTGTCTCCCTTTGTCTCCCAGTCTCCGCGGTCAGATGCCAGATGCTGTGACGCTGGCTCCGGGGTTGTGTCTCCCGCTTGTCTCCCTGTCCTGTGTCTCCCAGTCTCCGCGGTCAGACGCCAGATGCTAGATGCTGTGACGGGAGACACGGCCCCAGATTTTTGTCACGCTGGCTCCCGTTTGTCTCCTGTGTCTCCCCGCGGTCAGACTCCCGCTTGTCTCCCTGTTCCCAGATGCTGTGACGCTGGCTCTGGGGTCGTGTCTCCCCCTTGTCTCCCTGTGTCTCCCCCTTGTGTGGCCCAT